AGCTTCATCGTTTTTGCGGATGAAGAGGATTTTAGGGTGCCTAGAGGAGGTTGGTACACATGCAAACATAGATGAGAATGAAGTGCCTATTTATAGAAAATTAGAGGAGGGAGGCATATGCCATTTATCGATAATGAAGATGTCTGCATCAATCATTTTATGCAAATTTCTAGTGAATGGAAGTTGGGATTCCAACCAGTGCCAAGAATTTCAAATGAGGAGAACAATGGGAAGTTGGAGAAAGGAGAAGAACCAAAGAGAATTGCGCACGTGTTCATGTGTTCTGATTGACTTATGCAAGCGATGCAACACCTCGATGAAATTTCCACTTAATTTCTTTCATTCATTTGTTTGGCTTTTTTTCTTTTCCATAATTAAGGGACATGGACGCGGAGACCCGGCTAAGTCCAGGCAAGCCCCATAAACCAGTTAAATCCAGGCAAATCATAAAAATTATGAATTTTCTTTTTCGTGAAATACAGGCACTCATAAATATCATTGGTCTAATTTAAGTTTTTTTGGTTATCATTTAAGATGGTTTGTTTCCGATAAGCTTGTTTGTTTTCTCTGAGAAAAGAAAACTAAGCTCGTTTTGGTGGCTAAGTTGTAAAGGACGATAGCTATACAAACGAGACTAATCATGCAGCCTGCAATTATTTACTTTCAACGTATAGTGTATTAGCATAAGAAGGGGGAAATTGTCCAATCAGCCCTAAACTTATTGTATGAATACCAATTCAATCATATACTCTTTAAATAAACCTTTGCGCTAAATTATAATATAATCCTTTCGGCTAATTTTCTCCATAGCGGTCTAGTCATTGCCGGCCGGACTGAATTGGCAAAATTGAAAAGTTTATGACTGAATTGGCAGCCATATAATATGTTTATGATTGCTTGGGTGATTTTTTCATATTTAAGGCAGAGACAATCTACCATATTCTGGGAGGCATCTTGTTAACACAATATGTATCGGTTTAACGTTGCATGATGATCCGTATGATATGTTTTACAGTAACTTATAAGTGATGATAAACCTAATAATACGTCATCCAAGGACTAACTCTATTCTTTTTCAATGTTGTATTTCTCCTTCAACTTCTTGAGATGAGCCGTCCTAGAAATTATGAACTCTTGACCTAAGAGTAAGGAGTGAAAAAGAGAGATTATGGGTGAGGTTAATAAATAATGATACCCTCTTTATAGCTTGCACCAAAACCCTAATTTTGGGCCCACAATTGTGAGGGTCCCGCACACATCAACCGAGAAATTTCTCAATTAGTTATAAATCTATTTTACAAATGCCAATTCGGTCTTCGACTTTTCAATTTAGTCTTAAATTTTTGTGCGAAATTCCAACATAACCTATCCGGTCAATTTTCACCGGAAATCATTGATGTGGCGATCCAGTCATCGTCGACCGTCCTATGTGGCATACCGCCACGCCAGCTATTGCTGATGAAAATTAGCCGGAATGACCACAATATAATTTCACGTAAAGGGTTATGGCTAAATTGATAAAATTGAAAAGTTTAAAACTGAATCGGCATCTGTACAAAAGTTTTAGAATCGATTAGACAATTTCCCCCACATCAAGCCAAGATGCATACTTGGAGCAACAAGTTTATCATCATTGGCACTTAATCTGTGTGAGGTTTATGTTTGCCAGTGCTAATCATGATGATTACGATGGTGGGATGATCAAATTAGCTGAGAATTGAAATAACATGAATCAAGAGTCTCAACGTGACCAAACTGACAAGCCCCCAAATCGCACGTTGTCAATTTGACGAAGCAAGACCGGTCTTCTTCTTCAAATCTAGGGTTCAAAATCAGTTAAACTTGCACCGTCTTTCTGAGTTCATGAATTTCCTTGGATGTGAAGTACACGTCTCAATTAGCCCATTTTGACTATATATTTGGGTTTTGGTCAAAATCCATGTCAATACACATGAATTGAAAACCGGGTCGATCGGGTATAAACATAGCGGCACACCTAAAAATTCCCTTTTTATTCTTTCTCTATGATTAATATTAAAGAGACGAAGGAAACATTGTTCATCCTTGTTTTCGTCGCTTGCTATGTTTTCAAATCGCATGTACTTATGTGAATCTATATGTGCTCTTTGTGTCCACGGTATCTTTATTAGGTCGACCCTTGTCAACTCAATTTTACATAGTAATCTCAAAAAATAACACACAATATTAAAAGTCTATGTGCATATACTGTCCCAAAGAAAATCTTTAGTAACTACGTTTTATATACCGAACTACCAAGGCTGCGTTTGGTACATGAAAATGGAAATTAATAATATTTTCGCAAACAAAATAGCATCACAGGTTACCTTATCGGATATTATTATTTTCTCGCTCCATTATATTTTATGTTATCATAAGTATTTTTTATTTTCTCGCCAAGTTAAAGATATTGATAGTGATCCTAAATTATTAAAGTTCTCCACATTATTTGAAATTGTTACAAATTGTAATCTTCCCATTGTTTTGAGAAGTTTGAGTCGTTTGACATTTTAAAAAGAAAAAGTTCGAAACGCATCAAATGAAAAGAAAATCATTCAAACTGGCAGTTTTGACGTAAAAACCAAGAACCGAGCAAGTTAAAAAGCGGTTCCCAAGTTTCAGGACCGAAAACCGAACTGCTTCCGGTTCTAAATCTGTTCGACCTTGAATTCGTCAGTTTTGACATAAAACCCGAAAATTGAGCCAAGAACCGGGCCAGGTTCTTCCCCGAACATGCTTTCAACAGATGGGGACGAGGCCGGTTGGGTCCACATCCCAGATCGAACCGGCCCGATTGCTTATCCCTACATTGTGGACAAAGACCACCAATGAATAAAGACATATGAAACCGAATATACCTTACACAACTTCAAATCTCTATGGACTGCTAGAGCTACATAACTTTGCTTCTCTTCCTTTTTGTCTCCGGGAGGGGTTTATGGAGGCAAATTATCCGGCGTGCATCCCAAAAAATACTAGCAATTTGACTTTACAGGTTCTGTGGGTAGCTATGATTCGATAGTGCAACGCAATTCATCACTACTTTCCTTTATTTCTGGACAACGCATAAGCTTTTGTTCCCTTCCTATGCGTGTAGTTACAAAAGTTGGTTTTGACACATAAATATACATTAATCACCAAATGAGTACATACGTCATGGGGAAAATATTAACTTTAGAACATGTAAAATAGTGCGCATTTGTTCATACTTATGGAACCCCAAATTTGTTTTCTTACTATGATAACGATATGTAGATGTAAAATTTCTGGGTACCCTTCGGCCATTTTGCACGTTCGTGTGCAAGACCATATCTATATTTATATCTAAATATTTAAGTCAAAAATGGATTTTCTCTCCCTTTTTAATTTTTCATTTAGCTCTCACCTACATACTACCTTAATATTGTAATGCATTTCGCATTAAAGAGAAAAAAAGAGTAAAATTTACCATATATGACGTCGGAAATTTGGCAAGCCAAAAAAGAGAAATAAAAGAATATATCCCGCTCAAGTAAAAAGTTAAAGCAAGACATATGATCCATATATGTATGTATGATACAATGAGGGGGTTATTGTATAAACCAATAGTTATCTGAGATAGATATGCTATCCCAAAACATCCGTCCTTTCCTCAGCCTTTCAAAGGGACTCCTAATTTTCAGAAAACCATTAATTTATACCATAAGGTTGTCAAGACTCAGAAACTTTCCTATCCATAGGATCCACAGAGTGGCAAGTGCAAAGTATACTTGTGGAATCAACTCATCATATTGAATTGACAATTTTACTCTAAGCTTATAATGACATTAGATTTTGCGGAAAAAAGGGAAAGGGTTTAGAAGGCCATGGGAGAATTGTATATAGAAGATATTTTCATAACACCGATTTTATTTCAATTTCTTACAAAAGTTATCCTTATATAGGCTGAGCCAAGGGTAATACAATAGTAGTATAAGCACACCCCAGCATCTTAAAGATGCGTTTCTAGGACAATAATACATAAATGACCACACTTGAAAGACTATGCGCGCACCTCGAAAGATGCTTTTTAGATGGAAGCACAAAAATAAAGCACTTTAGCCAAAAGCAACGATCCTTATTTCAGTATATATATTACACGTAATTGCTCATATAAAATAGTAATATATAAAAAGAGTTTGTTTGTCATTGTAGGTCTGTTTGACAAATAGTTGAATCAAAACCAAACCTAGTTTATATATGACACTTTTTTTTCCATATCTTCATCAAACTAATTAATAGACCGATAATACTCAAAATCTAAGTTTAGTTTGACTCGATTTGTATTATCGCTTGTCCCTTTTGCCAAACACCCCTAGGTTATCTAGCATCTCATGCATCTTGGTTTACTTAAAGTAATCTACATCTATATACCGTGTGTGAAGTCTCTTACCCTTTTTTTTCTTTCATCAAAAGAAATTTTCATTCATTACCAAAATGACACATGAATAAGACAAGCCCGTAGAGATATACCTACCATTAGGAGTGTAGGGAAATATACTTGGTTTTGTTCAGAGAAATTCGCAGTTTTTGCCACTTTGAACCATGTGATGAATGTTGATATAAATATTTGTTACCTGACGTTATAAATCATGTAATATATTGGGAAGTATCATATCAACAGAGCATTACTGAATTTCATCCTTTTGGTCCGTCCAAAAATTAACTCCATCTTATCTTTTGCAACAAAATCAATCTTTCGATGTTATGATTTCTATCCTCTTAACATGAAGGATTTTATTACATTGGTCATACTCACGTAATAACAGGGAGATTCTTATAAGATCTTACACGACGCTCCTTTCTTATTAGCATCATCAAGTGAAACACATAAGACCAAGACGACTCAGAATATATGTAAATAGCGTTTGCGTGGGTGTAATCTGCATAAACTATACATCAAACCAACAACTGAACCAAATGAAAGCTCAGTTTCACTTTCCATTGCTGTTCATTCATACCCATCAAGCGTAATCGCACATCCCATAGATACAGTAGCCCCCTTTCTTGCACTTTATATTGCATCCGTTGCAGTTCCTCTTGTCGAACATCGGGTTCACGCAATACCCTTTGCAGCAGATCTCGTAGACCCGGCACTTGTGCCCGCACATCCCGCAGTTCAGCCGATCGGTCTTTATGTTGGTGCACGCCTTCCTGCAGCAGTCCGGCCCAGGGCTGCTCTTCACTCGGCACAGTTGCGGGTACTTGTCGCACGTCGCGGTCGCCAGCACTCGGCTCTGCTCAGGGAGGAACCGCCGCGACAGAGTGTCCAGTCCAAAGTCTTCATCGCTGCCATCGCTAGGATCTGTTGTTGCAGAAGTATTGACAACAGCAGCCACAGCGAAGAGGATGAAGAGGAAGTGTAGGAGCGGACTCATGCTTGAGGGCATGCGTGTTCCTTAGCTTCAAGCCAATGTGGAACTTCTTGCTGTGAGAATTAGGGTTCTTATACAGAAAACAGAGGGAGGGTTGACCCGGAGGGGATAAACGTGCGACGTAAGCCACGCGTGCATGCTTTTCTCTGTATGGTCTCGATGCATGAGACTGCTTGCGTTGCAATGAAAATCTTTCGAGAAGGTAAAATGGCAGTGATTTGATCAAGAGAATCTAGTTGCGATTCCGAATCTCTCCCCACCATGATTTCTGGGAGTATGGTGAACGTTAATTGCAGTCGCCTCCTCTTTGCTTAGTGTTTGAATTGCGTCGGAAGGTCGAAAAGAGAAACTTTGAACATTCGAAGGTAAGAATTTGTCATTAATGTTGTATCAACTTGTTGTCAAAGTTAAAACGATCGAGTCCAGCTATGCTCGCCCAGGCCAACTGTAAAGCACAAAAGTAAATAAGAGATTCCCCGTTACTCAAGATTCTCCATATTTATGAGATTTGAGTACATATGTTCTTTGATTGTGCATGTCCCTAGTTGATTATAATCGATGCTGTAATATCTAGTTACCTTAAATAATCATTTCATAAAGCTTATAAATATCTCACGTACTCAGACACAAGAACTATACATTCTCTCTTCTGCATATTCTTATCTTTCTGGGTGATACTGAGGAAACTTTTAGTGCACCGGGTGTGTGCTCACATTGTTCGTCCTGCCCGATGGATGTTCGTCTAGCCTCACGGTGACATCCGAAACATGTATGTGCCATGTCAGTCTGTTGTCGCGTAGCATGCAAATGTCAAATTCAAATGCATATCTGCAATGTCAGATTGCTGTCGTGTAGTCTGCACAAATACTCAATTGTGTATCTGCCACTATCATGTTAGCACTTTGTCACGTATGGTTTGCTGAACTTGTTCTCTACATGGGTTGATTAGACTATTGACATCTTCATTAAAGCACATCCACCCGGGCTTTTTGATCTGTTTTTATCTTTTCTCTAGAACTCCCCACTTCTTCCACTTCACTTGAGTTTGAGAGCAGATGTTTCTATTATATTTAGACGATTCTTCGTATCGCTTTTGATTTTTCATATCTCTCGTGATTGTACATATATCAGACTTGCTAGTGTACATCTATAATTGATTAAAATTAATATTGTAAAATATCTTGTTACCTTAATAATCATTTTCTAAAGTCTATAAAAAGTTCATGTACTATAAATACTATATAGATTTTACAAGATGGGTTTTTTAAGTTAACATATAGTAATCAGTCGGGGACATGTACAATTCTCAGAGATATGAAGAATCAAGGGAGATATGGAGAATCTCCTAAATATATGTCCAACAGGCACTCAAACTTAAGGTAACAATTGATGTTTGGAGAAAAGAAAAGAAAAAACAAGGCGCGAGTTAATCTGATCAAGTGATGATAGGGAAGCCAATCTAGGTTAACTGAGTCAGTCCACTAAACAGTGAATAGGTAGGCTCGCGTCGACTTTTTAATGTGGTATATACACTTTTGGATTTGATGTGCAGGCTACGCGACAATAGGCTGATGTGATTGAGTCTTGCACATACAAGTCACACGAACGTGGGCAAATAATTGAAAAGGCGATAATCGAAAAAATGAATGACACAACATGCATTTATATATTTTATAAGATGACTATCAATCTACGGTATCAAGTATTTCGTGCCAACTTAAAATCAAAGTGTGAGCATAGCAAAACGTACAAAAATTTCCAAATCTAAAAGTCAAAATCATTACACATAAAAAGAAAAAAAAAATAGCTGAGTAAAATACGCACGCCCCCACCGACCGTGGCGAGAAGAGTGCGAATCGGACGGAGGAGAACCGACCGGAGATGGCCACGTCCGCCTCGCCCTCCGCCGTCACGGAGTTGCTCCGGGCGGCGCTCCACCGGGTCGGCCAGGCGGCGGAGAGGTGCGGCCGCGGCTCGAGCCGCGTCCGGGTGGTGGCCGTGAGCAAGACGAAGCCCGTCGCCCTCATCCGCCAGCTCTACGACGCCGGCCACCGCTGCTTCGGCGAGAACTACGTCCAGGAGATCGTCGACAAGGCCCCTCAGGTTCCGGACTCAACCTGCTCGGAGCTTTGATTTGGCCGCGTTGCTGTAATGGTAGCTGTGAATCTGTCGAGTGCGTGGGAGGGGAAACTGAAGAATCTGAGATGGGTTTCTTCTACTGTGTTTTTGTTCTGGACAGAGCTTGCAGTGACAAGTTCAAAGCGAAGAACTTTAGTGGCTAAAGATGATCAAATTCATTGTTTTTTGGGGGATTTGCTTCTAATTAGCTTTGGCTACATGCGGATAGTATCGAGTTCTTGCGAAAAAAGTAGGCTCTTTTGTCCGATTATATTTGATTCGATTATTGAATTTGCAAGTGCAGCTTCCGGAGGACATCGAGTGGCATTTCATTGGGAATTTGCAGAGTAATAAAGTGAAGCCTCTTCTCGGTACGTCTCGATTGGATCCAATTCTGGTCGTTTCGCCGCCTTCTGAATTGAGAAGAGCATTATCGGGCACCTTTGTATCTGTGTTTAGTTCTTCCTGCCTCATTTTGCCCATTAACTCTTAGGCTTCTCAATATATAGTGCATTTTGTGCTCTTGAATCTGGATTCCTAGGCTGCATACTATGGGATAGGATATGAAGTCGCTCAGGTTTCCTATATCTTGTTTGGTGAGTGACAGGATGCAACAGTGGTTATAAACATATCAGGTCTGATGAAGTGGTTGTTATTCATAAGATAGACCAGATTGCAGATAAAAAGATTGTAATAAAACTATGTTTTAAACAAAGTGATCAGACTAAGAAAAAGAAAAAGAAAAGTGGGTCAATACACGATCCACTGTGACTGTTGCACAGTGATCGCCATCCTCACACAGCCCAAAAACCAAATTTACGCATGAGTTGATCTTACAGACCAAATTGTTGAGACGCCTTTTGGTTTGAGATTCCAAGGTTGTGGGTAGTGATCAGTGGAGGCAACAAGCTACATCCATGGTAGCAGTACTCCTCTTTCTCCTTGATCTCTAGCTTTAGCCCTAGTCTTATATTTTTCACTTTCTGCTTTTGTTTTTTTATTTTACTTTCATATCCTATTCCTTTCTGGCTTGTATAAAATTATGTTACATCCTAAGTGAATATTGGGCTATATCTGGGTTTGTTCAGACCTATCCCATCCCGACGACTGGCCCATATGCCATATTGGATAACTTATATCCTATCTGGGTTCACACTGTATCCCACCCATCAAATGCAGCCTAGGTTTCTAATCTGATTTTTTGTGTGGAAATTGTTCACAGAAAGGTTAGTGATTTCCGTCTGTCTTTCTGCCACCCCAATTCTGTTTTTTTCTGGCAACCTTCCACCTTGATGTTCAGAGGGGATACTTTAGCTAGGATTGAAGTCAACAGTCTATAGGTGCTACATTACAAAGCATTAGCAGTAATTGAATCTTATGAATTTTACTGATCCTCCGGAGAGACATTCAAGTTCAGCTCTGAGAGTAAGAAATGATAATGTAGACATGCTTGCCCTAGGATATTAGTAGGTTACATTAATTTTTTTTCTAAAATTTGGATGGATCAGGTTGTTTTATATAGTTGTAACAACTAAACTGCAATTATCTTTTGGTTATGAAAGGCAGTTCCTAATATGGCAATCCAATACTATATCGTGTAAGGATCCTTTTAACTGTAAATTGCTATTTGTGGGCTTCCTTCTATCATGTTAGAAGCTTCATAAATTTTTAAGGTCGCCAATCCTTAGTTCTCTTTTAATTGTTCAAAATGTCGTCCCGCTCCCTCTTCCATCTTGATTGTAATGTCTATGTAACATGTCTGATCTTTGCAGCTGGTGTTCCTAATCTTGCAGTTTTAGAGAGTGTAGATGATGAGAAGGTTCTTAAATTCACTCCTTGTTATTTCTTTGAGGAATCTGAAGTTTGTGAATCCGCATCTGTATCTAGAAGGCTCTAACATAATTTTCATTTGCCTACTACTCTGGAACTTTCAGATTGCCAATCGCCTTGATAGTGTTGTGGCAAGTGCTGGAAGAAATCCATTGAAAGTCTTTATCCAAGTGAATACCAGTGGAGAAGAATGTAAGCTATTCAATTTTCTGAATCATTATTGAATTGATAGTCCATATAATTCTTGTCCCTCATGCTAGGATGATATCTTCATGACTGCTTATGGATTAGGATAGAAAACATATCTTTGTTTTGGGCAATGGATATTTTAAATGTTATCTCTTAACTGTTTCATCATATGGAAAACTGCCGTTTCTGATGTTTTGTCAGCAATACTTCATGAGTATCTGCTTTGCCCTTTGTAATGATTATCTCACGAGAACTATTCAGCTATCGTTATCAATCCACTGATAGTCATTTCCTTTTGAGAGTCTGGACCATAGATCCAAGCTGCTTCATTTTTCATATGTATATATCTATGTCGAACTTCTCTGTTTTGGATATCTTGCATCGTATCTTCTGTTTTCTAATTCCTAGAGGCAAAACACTTTGAAATGCTTGAGCTCGGTGTAGAAATCATTTCCTGGACTGTATCCTGTCTTTTTAGCGTCTAAAGTTAAGAGTATAAGTGTGCAGAGAATGTATTCAGCTATTCTTTCTTCGACTAGGAAGTTTCTCGGCTACCCGATTTAAATGGGAATAAAATGAAGGATGAAGCATGCTATGAGAGAAAAATAGCATTTGAACATGTTTAGATATGTTGTGGCCAAAAAACATGTTAAGATATTGGGGATAATTACGTTTAGTATGCTATATTGGCTTAGTCTCACTTTACATCCCTAATTTCAAATTTAACACTTTACATCCTTGAACCTGTTCTAGATATCTTACTTTAAGTCGTCTAATTATTTTCGTCAACCAACTGTAAGAATAAGTTGCCAATTCTTTACAAGAGTGTCTTTATAATGTATGGAAACTACAGAATACCTTTAAGATATTTTCCTTATAAATAAGAGATAATTTAGCTAAATCAACTCACTAAGTCAATACTTTTCTCTCTATATTAGTTGCGCGTTCTCTTCACCCCAACTCTCTCTTTTGTTGATTCTCTCTCTCATCTAAATATCATCAACTCTCACTTAATTAGAACAGTTATTCCTGTGGATGTTTAAAATATTTTCTTACTTTCTTTTTTTTTTTGGTAAGGTTCTTACTTTCTTTTGTGTTGGCTTAAATTTCCGAATCTTTCTGAATGGATAGACTTGTTCTTTTATCTCAATGTTGTGCATATAGATCTTAATCATAGACAATTTTGCAGCAAAATCTGGCGTCGAGCCCTCAGGCTGTGTGGAGCTTGCAAAACATGTGAGCCAGAGCTGCTCAAACCTGGAGTTTTGTGGTCTAATGACAATTGGGAACCTGGATTATACATCAACGCCAGAGAACTTTAAGGTGATTACACATAATCTCTAAATTGGTTTCTGATGATTTGCTATATGAGAAGCTGGTTATTTACTGCCGCTTAATAGTAACATTTTTTGGTAATTCTAGACATTAGCAAACTGCAGAAGCGAAGTGTGCAAGGCACTTGAAATACCAGAAGAAAAATGTGAGCTGTCCATGGGAATGTCTGGTGATTTCGAACAAGCTGTAAGGAACCTTGCAATTCCGGATTTTCTTGCTACCACTATTTTGCATATTGGGTAGACAAAACATGTGCATCTAAGAGATTTGTCAACGCCAGTTGCACCTGTGTACATAAACTTCTTCTGAATTCTTATCTACTAATTCCTGTCTAGCAAGCGGTTATGCTAGGTTTTCCTTATTGTTTGCTAATTTATGCAGGTTGAAATGGGAAGCACAAATGTAAGGATTGGATCCATCATATTTGGTCCAAGGGAATATCCTAAGAAATCATCAAATTAGTGTCCTCCCAGCATCCTGAAGATTTTGATCACTTGTATGTGTTTAAAAGCCTCGAAAAGTCACTTCTTCAGCATGGATGATCAGAATTACAGATCCAATCGTGAGAAAAGAGTTCTTTTGGTGCAATTCATAATTCCCCGTCCAAAGCTTAGCAACCCTTCTTGATCTAGGAATGGAAGATGCTCTTGGAGCATCCTTATAAACATCAGCTTTTCCAGCATTGATCTCTGAAACCTGGAAGCAAATAGAAGTTCATTTTGCCAGATTAGATGTCTCTGTGTCCATAGTTCTTTTCAGCGTGTGAATTTGAAGAACGCTAATCATAAAGGAAGTGAAACTAGAATCTGTCTTGGTTTATGTGAAAGACAGATATCTGCTGACTCGACCCGATTTTGATCTATTATTGTCATCATCAGGACCTTGAGATGAATAATCATGCCAAGCCAGACCTCTTGATGAACTTGTTGTCGCAGTGCCCAAGGCAGCGTAACAGAGGTTTTCTTAAGAATTTTGTTCTCGTGCTCTGCATCGGTTTTTTCACTTGCTGAAACATTTCCTTCATTCGCTGCACCATATGTTTACCCGAAGTTTATTCTTTGAACTTAGTTTTTAGTTAAAACCCTTTGGTTGCTCCGATTTACGTCGTAGAACCGGTGCGGTATTTCACAGCTTCAGTTCTCAAAGTGTCAATGGAACCGGTGGTTCCTTTGTTCAATCACTTGTATATGTGGCAACTGTGGAAAACAGTCTTAAAAACACATGGGTTCTCCTTCTTCTTCTTGTTGCTGTAACCACCATTTGTGGCACATACAAAGCATTCATGGCCACCTAAATCGCCACCAATCAACTAATTCATAATCCATATCATTAAGTAGAGAGCTCCAGTTTTCCACCTCCAGATTTGGAGTTTTAATGAATAAATTTTCCACTGTTCACAGCAACTTCGGCGTCAAATATGTGCCGGTTCAATGTGTTTTAGTTACAAGCTTTGGTGCATCGCATTAGCTACAGAGCTTGCTCTCACAGGTATTAGATATGAGTATTTTTAACATGTTTATGTTGTTTCCGTATGGTGATGGTAATGGGAACGCTGAACCTAGGCGCATACCTCTGAAAGGCAAAACCGTATTTACAAATGGAGATCTCAGCGTGTACTTATTATTGATGATGCTTTGTGAATCAGTGATCGGCCGTCGATCATTTCACTTGGATGCAGTCACAAATCTGTTCTTAAAGGACGAGCGTGTGGTTATCTCTACTATCTATGCTCCGATGATGTATCTTGATTTATGATTTTTTGTTTGTTTTGGAGTTTTGTGGGCTTGGTTTGTGACGGTAACTTTTGAGATTTCCTATCACTTTATCGTTTTGGTAATGATTGCAAATTTGTTTTGACCAAAAATTAAAAGTAGAGAGCGACAGGACGTTTGCACAAACGTGGGGTATATCATCATCCATCTTGAAGGACTTCTTAATGTGCTGACCGACCCCATTGAAACAGCCATTTAAGTACGACCCAAACCCACATAGACCAATGCCGACCCATGTATATAAATATATAAATTTCGTGTGCCATCTTGAATTATTGGCATGCGAAACACTCGAAAAAAAAAATTAAAGTCAGGGACTCTGAATTGGCCAAAGGGGCAATTGAGCTTTGCTTAATCGGTCTTGCTTACATGATTTGGAAAGCATTCAACCTTTCTAAAGTAAATCTAGTACTCAAACATGTGTTAGCAACTGAAGCTGAAATGCATTGTTACCATTTATACCAAGCAATGGCATGGTGTGAGGTCCAATTTCCCTATCACGCAACTTGTTTTAGGTCCTCTCATCGCTTATGTGACTGATCGCGAGAAGGTCGTACGAATTAAACTCTCGATTTCTACTATCAGTTTTGGGCATGAGTTGAAGATTACTAGCTAAATGTAAATTTCTGCATAATCTCAATAGCTTTAGCTTGCGATATTAGTATCGCGTGCCAACGAATTCAAAAGCGACTTGAACCATGGCGTCTAGCTAGTGATTTGAAAAGTAAGTTGAAACAACGAAGTTATAGTGAGAATTTTCCGTATTAAAAGGAATAATAATTCTAGTCAAATGACTATATGAAATAGAGTAAATAGTCTATGTGGCCCGTGACGTGACTCATGGTGCATAGATGCTGAACCATGGCATACTCCACCACTTGGTAAAATCACAATTTTTTTTTTTGTAATCGAGGTGTCCGTGCCAGCTTGCGCGCACCTCGACTATTCTTCGGGGGAGACTAGCACAGCAACCCACCGCCATGGCTCCCCACTTAAATCACAAGTGCTCAGCTGGGGAATCGAACCTGGGACCAGTGCGCCTAACCACACAATCCCAAGTACGCCCTAATCAACTGAGCTACCCATGGGTGGGTTGGTAAAATCACAATTCGTATTAACTTTTTTGCAAAATTTTGTGAGATCACTGACAATTATTCTAAAAATTGTCGTTGCATGCGGACACGGTCAAGTAAATGAATGCTCTAATGCTCGCCCTTGTCGTAGGAAGAGATGAGGCCCAAGATTGTAGTGTGAAATTGAATAGGTGGGGAGGCAAAGAAGGGGGCGCATTGAGATTTTCGAACACGAAAGCGTAACTGCTAAGCCTCAGAACATGAATCCAACTTGAAGTAAATCAAAGTTTTAAGAGTGATAGAAGCATGTACTGGTGGAGATCACAGCGAGCTTTCTGCATCGGTGGCCAACAATGGTAACTCTGCTACTAGAGGTGAACGATAAGGCGGTCACGAAATTATAGTGCATGCCTAGTAATGGGAATAAACACCATGGGTGTGCATTAACTCCTACTTCAGACCCCACGTACTCTCAACCACAGAAACCATCCTCGACTGTTAATTTCACAAAGGAAGAGAGGAACATGTTAGCAGAAGATCGTGACGATGGCGATCAAGAAACGTCGTTCACATGGAGCATGCGTATTTTCGATCAACCCGTTGCTATCAGACTGTTAAGATCTAGGGAAGTTCACACAGAGCAGAACCATTTGCATCATGAATGAAGCTAGATTCGTTTTATAATGTGTTTTACACCCCCCTCTAGTTGGGGACACTGTGGACCAGATGATGAGATTTTCTTGTCCCAGTGCCAACTCTTCCCTCTCACTTGTGCCTCGTCAACCCCATTAATAATATGATCTCCCTCTCTTTTTAAATCCTCATCTTCATTTATTTCCTGCAACCGTAATTCACCGTCGTTCCCCTATATAATTCATAGGTTGGAGAGAGAGAGAGAGAGAGTGAGAGAGATGGGGAGGTCTCAGTGCATGGCAATAGCAGCATTATTGATGGTTGTGTGGGTTGGGGTGAGCGATGGTCAACTGGCTTATGATTACTACAGAACGACCTGTCCTAATGCTGAAGACATTGTCAGGAGGGAGATGCTGAGCTTTGCTTTCTTGGATGCAACTGCACCCGCTGCCTGTCTCAGGCTCATGTTCCATGACTGCCAAGTTCAGGTAATCATCACTTCATGTACATTAACCACTCCTCATTTTCTTGATTATGCATGTTGTCATGTTGTGTCTGTGTATGCTGAAAGAGAGAGAGAGAGAGAGAGAGAGATGTACATAAATGCATGTAGGCTAAGAGTGTATGTATCCCTTATGTACAACTTACATTGTCAGAATGTTAAAAGTTATTGTAGAACACTGTTGAATACATGGTTTACTAGTTGGCATTGTATTAAGAGTTCTTTTTTTTTTTTTTATCTGGGGTGATACTGAGAGCTTGTTATCCTTCGTTTAATCTGATAATATCTCGAGTTTGTCGCTTTCTTCCATAACTCCACGATAACGATGCTTCTCCTCTAATGAGGGATGCGACGCTTCGATACTTCTCGACCCGATCGGCTTGAAGTCGGAGATGAAATCGTCGAGGAACTTCGGCATCAGGAAACTCGAAGCGATCGAGCACGTCAAGGCGGCGTTGGAAGCTGAATGCCCGGGCCAGGTCTCTTGTGCAGACATAATCGCATTAGCTGCAAGGGAATCGGTGGCTCTGAGTGGAGGACCACACATTGCCATTCCTCTTGGAAGGAAAGACTCGAGAGCTAGCAATCACCAGCAAGCCGATGCCCATCTCCCTTCTCCAAGTATTTCTGTCGATGCATTCCTTCAGACCTTCATGGCCAAAGGGTTGAATCTCGAGGAATCGGTCGCGATCGTGGGTAAGCATCACATGTCATCAATCTTGATAGCGATCGACTAGACACCTAAGTAGAACTTGTCCTAATGAGTGGCATTAATGCATCTATATGTGGATAGGCTAAGCTAATAGACACTTTAAAAGGAGATTCTTGCGATCTCGGCTAGCCCGGTGTCGGGGTACGGTTTTCGCGTTAGCTCATGTGATACCAGCATACCTGTTCCCAGGACCATTTCTACTTCATTCTACAAGTCTGCCTATTATCAGGCATATTTTCATGTGCTAGGATTTATACAATAGCATATGAGGAAGTCCCATAGAAGTAAAACTCGCATATTGGGTGTATGTAGATAGTAGTTTGCACATCGAAGATTGACCGACCCTTTTGTGTTTGTGACATGAATTCAAGCTGCTATTAACCATTTTATGAGAGCGAATCCTCTCACGACAACATGAAAAACGGAAGTTAAGAATCCTGCAGGACTTGCAGCGATCCGTACGAACAGCCGAAGCTTCTCAATCGAGCCCTGATGTGATCCGAAGTATTCCATGTTATTGTGAGCTCAATGTGAACCGCTCTTTGCAGGTGCTCATACGCTAGGCACCGGACACTGCCTGAACATCGTCGACAGATTGCACAACCTGAAACCCGACGATCAAATGAACCCGGTGTTCGAAGCTCAGCTCAGACTACAATGCCCGACCTCAGTTCCCCTGACAAATCTCACGACCGTATCCAACGACATAACCCCGACAATATTCGATAACCAGTACTACAGGGACCTACTGTTGGGCAAGGGCTTGTTTCTCATTGACTCAAGCATCTCGACAGATCCCCGCACTTCTGATATGGTCAGGCAATTCGCCATCGATCTAGACTACTTCTTTCGCGCATTTTCCTCGGCGTTCGTCAAGCTCTCTTCGACCAACGTTCTTGGCAAGATGAAGGGCGAAGTGCGGAAACATTGCAGTCGGGCGAACTAAGCGTGCACACAGAACCGAAGCATTTCCATTTCTTACCACAGTTAACGACTTATATTTATCACAAAATTATTGTATGTGTGAATACCGGAGGGTGATTCTTAGCATTACTGCTGGTCGCGTGTGATGTAATAAAGTCAAGAGGCTATAAATGAAGTCACATGCGATTGCTTCTTCACAACTACGGCCACCGAGTGCTTCGCTTGCAATGTACCCTACCCATTTAGTAGTCGGCTACCTCAGCCATAACTCGTGCTATGAAAATTTAGACATCCTAGTCTGCAACTGCCAAAATGACCTCGTCATGGTGTACTATGAACCTGTGTGGAAGCACAGATAGCTTATTTAAAAGGTATTAACGACACTATATCACTATATAGAAGGAAATTATCATAGAATGCATTCAGAGAATTCAGAATTTTGTTGGTCATACTTTTCAGAAAATTTCAATGACAGCCTAAATTGTACAAGTAGTAACCCTGAGAAAGAATAGTACATAATATAGACCCTTAGCAGAACCAACAGACATAAGGTTGAGAACTTGAATAATGAACTGTCGGGGGGAAAATATAAAAATAAGAAAGGTGTGTGTGTGTGTGAACTCAAATTCCGTGATTCTCGTGTCGTTTTCTCGATATCCACGAGTTATCGCCGCTGTCACAAAATTTTGGTGGTTAATAATGTAATGCTATCGTCCAACTATATTACCTCGCGGCTTATCTGCATAACTTTTAGCAGGATGCTCCACTTCCTCTCCAAATTGTCTTGAAGTAGTCAGTTGTTACTTGTTAGGGTATCCCAGAGCCTTTGAAAATAACTAGTGTAGCCGATCAAGGGGTTGAATCTAACAAGAAGGAAGCATCAAACCGACCGACCACCCCCTCACTCAAAAGGCGCATGGCTGCTCCTCGTGAAAACTTCCTCGCAAACAAAAAGCACGGAACAGATGACGAATTTGCACGGCACCACTCTGTCCGAAACTCGGTCTCATAATACACATGATTGATTTTCTGAAAAATCGATGATAAAAGCAATGGATTAGAGAATAAGATATAAATGAAAAAGAACAGGAAATTAGGTGGAAGAACGCAAATAAGTACCATACGCAGTTTTAATTGAAAGGACCAAAAGGGTTAAGAAGTTAAACCAAGAGATTTGTTGGTTCACGGGAGGTTTTCTTTATTCTTTAGAATTAGTTACCCAAATACCTATGTAGTAGCAATCAAATTAAGCGGAAGCTTATGAAGTTAACAAATTTATCACTTTGTTATTTGCTTCGCAAAAAACTACAATTTCTGCTGCAGGGAAGTCGACCAAAGAAATAAACAAAAAGTTTAAGCAGCAAAAGTTGGCAACTAAAGCACTAAGCCAGATTTGCTGTAGAACAAAGAGAAACATAATTTTCTCAGCCTGTCATCAACTTAATCTTAGAGAAAGCACCTTCATTTTCAGAGGATGAAAACTAAATGGGAAATGTGCTCAGGACCGACCTTTATTCCCTGGATTTGTCGCGGACTGGCGTTTGCATAATCAAATGTAACAGGATGCCAACCTTTAGTATCCATCTTTGTAGCCGACTGGTTCCATGAGGTATATGTTACCGTTCTTCGTTCAAGTTCAGTTTCAAGCTCATTCAACTAGCAGAACATACACGGTAAAAGACTTATGAGCCACGTGGTATCAGAGTCCAGTAAAAAGGTATTTGCAATGTGAGCTTTAAAAAAGTAAGCGTTGTCTATTAGCAACAATTGAAGTAGAGGTCGGCCAGGTATAAGATGCTTAAAATGACCCATGTAGCATTAATGGGATGTAAACACAAAAGAAGGCGAGTGAGTAATGATGAATATGTTTCTTACTGCAAGTAACGTCTGCACATAATGTTCATCTGGAATACAGTTGTGCTGCTTCTGAAGTTTCTGCAGTTGGCAATAGATCTCATATTAGAATAACTAGCAGATCAATCTGACCATTTTAAACAATCCATGAATGGCTTCGTAACCTACAGATGTCCCTTTTAGAAGCAATTGTGAACATCACGCATCAACTTCATGAGGTCTCATGAAACATTGAAATCACTTATTTAGCCATATTTAGATCCTTCAAACATTGAAAACTTTCGAACACTTCCAGCTATATGCTATTAGACAGCATGAACAGTATGAAGTATCCAATCGATAGCAACCACTTTTCCTGTGGGATTTGTGTGTGAGAATTGCCAGTTCCTTTAAGAACTCACACTGGTTTGTAGATTAATAATTTTAAACATTTCACGATTCCCTGTGATACGTAATTTGGCATTTAGAATATGATCCTAATGTTAAATTGAAACTGGCTATGCACAGAGAAAGCAATCCAGACAAATACTAGGGGGCGCAGCTTCAGAAAACTCAAGGCTTCAAACATATATCAAATGTATTCATAATTCCCAAACTTGGAATTCTTAAAAAAGTGGAACATGAGAAGAGTTAAGCCTACAGAACAAAAGTCCCAGTTTCGAAAGGGTAATAAAAAAAAAATGCACAGAAAAGTTAAGCCTCTAAACAATGAAAGCAGCAACATTTCTGTGTCTTAAAGAATACTGACAGTTATCAGGACAACACCCGCAGTTGGTTGATCATGCGAACCTTTAGCATTTAATCAGTGTGACAGCTGGGAAAAAATTATGTCATCCAATTGTCAACATGGCGAGGGTTGGGGGCAGGGAGGGATCTCAATAACAAACCAAGCAATCAAAAGATTGAAAATTTCACATTACATCATAACATGTCAGAAAGTACGGAAATTGATATTATCTGTATGAGGGGTCAAAAGACTCAAAAGTCACTCACAGTGTTCAGCTTTCCTTTACTGGCATCTACAGGTGGTCTTCGCTGGTGGGCAAGCAGTAGTAGACCGAGTAAGAAGCAGAAAACTTCATAAGAGCGCGCGTAAACAAATTACGTGTTACATCATCTACCTTGCAAAATTTCTTGAATGCTGGATAAACAACCTCATCATCTACAACCACTTCTGCATGCCTACGAACTAAGGCAATCCACTGCAATCATAGTAGCAATAAGAACATTAATACAACGAAGGCCACGGAAAATACTGATCTCCATCAGCACAAAATATCAGCTCAATGGACGCATCATCATCACAATCACAAAAAAACAAACACAAATGGAACATGGAAAATCAAGGTGCAATTTGCAGACCAAAGAGAGGGTGATCCAGGTGGCCCGGAAATACGAAACACAATGATCGCTCTGAATAACATGATAAATTTAGAGAAAACATCGACACAACAAAAGCTCCAGCATGTAGGTTTAAAAGAAAAAACATACATCAATGAAAGCTTTGGCGTGTAGATGGAAGCCCCATTTACTTATCTATGTTTCCATATTACAAATAACAAAAAATTTCAGAATAGATGTGAACAGAGGTAAGTCTAATTTATCTGGGGCATGCAATAGCTACAACAAATTCTCATTGAAACATCAGCTGATACATCTTTCGGGGACAGAAGACAAAAGAATAAGACAGAAACCTGTGACCCTTTTCGCCATCTCTCTTTTAGAATAACTGGAAACATTTTAAGGTTGTACCGGCCTTCCTTTGCATCAAGAAAGCTACAAATTGTAAGGAAATGCATCAATTGACGGATGCAATGTATCAATCAAAGCATGAAATCACCATACACAGAAACAATGCTAAGCACCTCAACTATCAAAGGCCTCCATCTACCTGTCCACAAAACTCCTCGAAGAAGCCATTAGATAGCTGTATATGTAGCTGAAGTTGTACAAAGGAACACAACTGCAGCACCAGCAAAAGAGAAACTTCATAATATGATCAAGTTTTGTGAAAAAATGGACAAAAGAATCCTATTTGACTTGATAACGACCTTGAAGAACCAGTTCAAGCCACTGTATAGATCAACACTAAGCACATGTCTTTCTATAAAAGAAAGAAAGACCAAAGGATATCTAGCAATGACAACCTTACGCCCACATTTTAGTACAAATAGATAACAAACTGAAAGCTAAAACTCTCTGATCATATTGGAACAGATCAAATTCAAAATTACATCAAAGGAGCAAACCATTAATAAGCAGCAGCTAGAATGGCTTGGATTGAAACTCATTAACGATATGTGGAAATTTGGAAATAGAAGGATGCTTTCTGGAAATTCAAGTTTAAAATTAGATGCTTATTAGAAACATAGAAGGACAGTTACTTATCCTCAGAAGAAAATGGCACAATGGGATTAGTTTGACCTCTTCATTGAATAGGCATTTATTTATTTAGTAACCGTGTTGCTTGTAGCAGAGACAGCATACCGCTAAATGCTGCTGCTTCAAGAAAATGATTGTTTGCTCACCCAAAAAGAGAAGGATCAAATTCGAAGTTACTTGTCCTTAATGCAGAAGAAACTCTAAGCTTACAATGCACATGAGATAAAAATAAATTTATGCAAATACAAAGGACATCAACCTATCGGAAAGGAGAACAAATCTTTGATTTGCTGGATCCTCGAGTGCTGCAGCAAACAACAATCTCTCTGCTTTGATCATGCTTGACTCTCCCCATTCCACCTGTTAAATTGCATGACATTCAAAAAAAGATTCAACTTATCATGGCGGACGAGTCACCAACAGTAACAAAGGAGGACAACAGCTTGTTGGGTTCAAGAATTGGCCTATTGTAGATCCACCTAGCGGCTAAAAACATCAAAATAAGGAAGGCCGGTGCTGCAGTTGTGTTCCTTTGTACAACTTCAGCTGTGTAAACATAGTTGACATCATTTACAAGCCCAGTAAACATAGTTTCATTGACGCGGCAGACACTCCCATTCGATTTTGTTCCATTCTTCTCGTCTCGGCAACAAGATGGACAGTTAAAAAATAAGGACTTTTTCATTGCGACGACGAAAATCCCATCAAACGAACTATAGATTCAACCTCAGCGAAGATAAACTGATCGAGAAACAACCGAAAATCACGCATTTCCCTCTGAATTCCATGAATCACACCTGAATGCTATCGCTCAACTGGCGACCGTAGAAGAAACGCGACCTCGTCGTCGATTCGTCGAACACGAACCCCGGCTCCGAGTGTACGTATATCGAGAAATTCGCCACGTCAGCACTCTGCGGCAGAAAAAACACACAACAACAGAAGAGAACTCGTCGGTTCCTAGGCCGCACAGATAAAGGGACCGAGAAATCCCGTCACAAGAGCACGAAAGAGATCATTCCGGAAACCTCGAAGAAGCTTCCCCAGAGGAAATCGAGCGGGATATCGCGGCGAGCGAGGTAGAGGAAGGCGAGCTTGGGATTGCCGACGAAGCCGCCGCCGCCGCCGCCGCCGCGGAGGGAGCGCGATCGCGAGCGGTACACATCGAGATGCTGAGACGACGAGGAGGAGGAGGAGGAAGGAAGCTTAGGCCGGTGGTGGAGCCGGAAGAGGCCGAGGAGGCAGAGGGAGATCGAGAGGAGGACGACGAGCTTCCAGCCGAGCCAGAGCACGCGCCGGGTCGGAGCTTGCGCGGACTTCTTCATCGCCGCCGCCGTCCTTCCTGCAAGCAGCGACGACGTGAATACCACCGCACGCGCACGCGCGCAGAAGAGAGAGAAAGAGAGAGTTAGAGAGAGAGAGAGAGAGAGAGATTACATTTGATTGCGGAGAGCCGGAGGAGGGAGGAGAGCATTTGAAGCTTCGAAGGGGAACCTCGCGGCGGAGCTGGAAGAAGCCTCGGTCGCGTCGCCGTCGCCTTCGTCGCCGTCGTCGTCTTGCGCGAGTTCGGAAAGCTACGTGCAGTCGCGTAGGGGGGGAGCGTTTTTCAAGAAGAAGAAGAAGAAGACGACGACGCGGGTCGGGACCACAAAAACGACGCCGCGGATTGAGGGAAAGAAAAACCTTCTACTTTTCAATAAATAAATAAAAATCTAGACCAAAAAAATAAAAATAAAAAAAGAAATTTATACATTCTCTGCGAAATATTAGTTATTTAATATAACATTAAACATTCTAGGGGGGGAGACATAAGCAACCTTAAACACGGTCTAATCTTTAATTAATTATTTCTTTCTCCTTCTTTTCTTCCTTCCCTCGTACGTGCGTGTGCAGTGTCGGACGGTTTCTTTGGTGGCGTATCCCATAATTCCTTTTCGGTTATCAGCAATCACGCAATTCCTAACGGAGCTATTACCGCCTAAAAATGATTCCAAATTGATATGACCCGTGCCACGTGTACCGTAAACTAATTTTTGTGTCATAACAACTACCGAACCAGCACGCTGGTACCACATTTTGACCAAACCGATGTACTCTCCCCACATTTAATTTTTGCATGAAATGAAAAATCCCAAATTGGTGCGTTTGCGCCACTTTTACCCCTAATAATTCCTGGACTGACCACGATTTAAGGTCAATGTGGTATAAATATATCGGTTTAGGTTTTTTTGTGACGATGTGGTATGGGTGTACCGATTTGAATTTTTTGGTGGAATTAGCTTTTCATAATAAGACAAGCATTGCAAGAGTTTTCAATTGTCAACTTTCTTTGTACCACAAGGACCGTGACTTTCATTTTGTGCGCTTTTTTTTAGTAATAATATATATAAGGGAAAATTGCACGAACGGTTTTTAAACTTTAGTTTAATGTGCAATGTGGTCCATAAACTTTTAGTTTATTCAATGTAGTACTTAAACTTTTAATTTGTTCAATATACTCCCAAATATTTTAGTGCATGTTCAATTTAGTCTCTAAAATTGAATTGATTGAATAATAATATTGAACATTTGCATATAATTTAGAGATTAAATTGAAGATGTACCAAAAATTCAAGAACTATAATGAATAAATTAAAAGTTCATGGACCATATTGCCTATTATTAGGGTAAAGTTTAGAAACCACATTGAACAGAATTAAAAATCAAAGATCACATTATATATTGAATCAAAGTTTAAGTATCATCTGTGACATTATTTCTGTATATAATCATGGAGGCTTTCGGAACGTACAAAATTGTCTACAAAAGTTGCCATTCCTTCTACACGTGTCACTCTCTCTCTCTCTCTTTGCTTATTCGGGGTGGTAAAATAATGACTAGACGGCACCGTCCAAGCATGACAAAGGGACATGCCAACAAGTAGGTGAGGCTCAAACATGGGGGTGTTCCTTAACAGAAAGTGGGAAAAGCATCAATGTCGAGAAGGTGTGACCTCAAAGTTTGAAAGTTGGTGTCTTTCTTGTGGAATTTGATTTGGGAATCAGAAAGGAAATGATGCAGGAGAGCGTCTGGTGAGTGGTCAACCCTACTGCTGTCTTTGATTTTTTTGCCTTTCTTGGAGATCAAATCACCTCCAGATCTTTGACCATCTCCATCTCCATCTCCATCTCCATCTCTCTCTGTCACCACCTAATTGCTGCTCAGGACAAGACCCTTTGGAAGGTCAAGAACTTTGAGTGAACCAGCGACCCCCATCTGTATTCCTATACACAGCATGCTTACCGCACAAAATCTGACGTTGCCAGATGATGATGCATTAAGATAGAAACAGCAGGTGATTAAGAGACAAAGCACAGATATGGAGTTAACTGCTGAAGGAGAGAATTCTGCTGGATAAGCTAAGCACTTCATACAAACTGTCAATTCAGTAGAATATACAGTAGATACATCCCAACCACCTGATGGCAGCATCTCACAGACTGAAGGATACAATACAGGAGATAACGGTCTTTGCTTCACCTAATCTGCAAACATCTTACTTCTCATCGCTGAGGAGTGCATTCCCACTTTCTGGATTTAAACATTGGAATCAAGACTGACGGCTACGTGTCTGCATTCCCAAGTTAAACACCTACCACAACACAATGCAATGCCTCTTTTTTTGTGATGAAGTAATAGCACGGGAACCACTCTGTGAGATAATATATGTTGACGGCGACTTAGCTGATCATAACTGGTCTATATCTTCTTCTTCATTGTTCGGTCTTACGAAAGAATCTGGAATATTAAGAGTTAGGTTTATCAGCACAACAGAAAGTTCAAGATAAAACTTGAGTCTTTTTAATGGAACGTGACTCTCTCCTGACACTGGAAAATGACCAACTTTAGGTGCAAAACACACCTTGTCATTTACATCTATTGGCGCGAGGTAACCGGGGACCAACTCCATAATGCGCAGTCAAAAGTGACTATTGAGCTCCGACCTTAACATTTTGGCGGTCCAAGATGACATTTAGGATCTTGCCAGGGACAAAGATCCTTTTCTTGATGGACTTTCCATCCAGATACTTGGAAAGTTTCTCGTCTTTCGAAGCTAATCTGAAAGCATCCTCCTCAGAGCACCCTTCTTCGACCTGGATAGTACCCCTCATCTTGCCGTTGATCTGAACTGGTAGCATTATAGTCGGCTCCTTCAAGTAATCGGGATTAGCCTGCCATTCAAAATCAGAACTAGGAAATGAGTAATTGAGCCCAAATATCCATGTGGGATCATGAAGAGAACACAAGAGAAGTCAGTCAGAGATATGCTCATCTATAATTACTTTACATCTTAATTCCGCCTAGTCTACTCAGGGCTCTCACTACCATATAAGAATTATGGAATTTACATGTTGTGAGATCTATTTAAGCGAAAAAAAAAGGGGGGAAAAATGAAGAGGACTCGTTAAATAAGTTGATAGGCTCGATATTAGCAGAATCTGACTTCTGAGTATTGTCATCTCGCACTTTGTAGACGGCAGAGCATAAAGCAATCACAAGCATGCGGGATAAGAAAGAGCCACAAAAAAAAAAAAACAATGCATACCTTTGGAAAAGTTTCATACGCCAATGAATTTGAGTGCCCTAGGCGGGACCAAAGCTCCTCCGCCATATGAGGAGCATATGGAGCAAGCAACAAAACAAATGCTTCTGCGACTGACCTTGGCAGTTTATCCCACTGAATGAAAGAGAAAAAAGAAAATAGAGCACTGATCTCACAAAGAATAAATGCTATACTAGACAAAGCTGAGAAAAAGGACTAAGTAAATAGAGCAACATTAATAAGATACTAAGGGCATTTCATTCAACAGAAGAAAAACAACCTTATAAGCAGCATTAATGAACTCCATCATTGCAGAAATTCCAGTGTTGAACCGTGTCCCTTCTATCTCCTCTGTCACCTGTAAATGGTAGAGAACTTAAACTGACAGCTCCATCATTCTTATGCTGTGTCATCATTTACATGTCCATGCCGTGGTCAAATTCCCACAGGTCCTCGTAAAGAAATTTAACCACTTCTAGTAATCTATTTGTCATTCCAAAACCATATTCACGTGTGAATTAGCAAGAACATGGCTAACAAACCAGAAACCAATACGGCATTCTAAAGAAACGACAGATGATGCAACAGAAGTAAGACCTTAGCAATACATTTATGAAGAGAACGAAGCTGTTCCAGACTCGGTTCTACATCGGTTGCCACCGTTCCCCCCTTAAATGTACCACTAGGTGATGGTGAACCGATAAGCAGCCTCCACGATCTCGCCAGAAACCGATGAACACCCTCAATCCCACTGGTGGTCCAAGTTTTTGAGTCTCTGGAAGCCAAAGGAAACAGTAGAAACTTGAGAACGGCTCATAATGATAGTAAGAGCCTAGATAATATGATCTAGGTGGGAAACAGAAAACTGATGGTATATGAATACCTAAACGGTCCCATGAACATCTCGTACAAGCGAAGAGAATCCGCACCATACTCAAAAACAACATCATCGGGATTGACAACATTTCCCCTGCTCTTACTCATTTTGTAAGCACGTGCTGTTAGACGAACATTAGGATTGTCCTTCAGTATGAAAAATTCCCCAGATTTTGTGACCTAAGCAAAGGAGGTGGTAATGCTTAATGCACAAGATAATGTTGTGATTTCTACCTGAAACGCCAAAGTTGATGCATGAAAGTAACTTACTTTTTCTTCAGTTACTACTTCTTGAGTATATTCACCCAATGAATCTGCAGCTTCTGCAGATACATAATTTCCATCAGCATCTCTGTATGCTGTATATTGAACCTGCCACACACGCCATTTAACGATTATGCAACTTGGCCCCTTCAACTACTCAGGCGCGGGATAGAATGCATTGATGGAAGAAAATATGGACAAACAATTATTACTTACCTCGCCAAGAATGATTCCCTGGTTTATAACACACTTGAAAGGCTCTTTCGTGGAAACAATACCAATATCGTATAGAACCTAAAACATATCCAGCAGATAAGTATGAGACTGAATTAAATAACATCAGCATGACACCACAGGCAGCCACACTCTGCCTAATAATAGTGCACATGTTCCACAGCCTAAAAGCCCTTCCATACCAACTTTAACCAGCACAACTACCCAAGAGAGCTTGGACCCATGTAGATCTAAGCTAATAAGACCCACTCAATTCCAGATATCTTTAGTTTTGATCTCTAAACTTTCATCTTATGCTCTCTGTATAAAGCCCAAGACTGCCCTAAGAACCACTTCCTATAAAAAAGAACAACTGACAATCATGATACAACGCTTTGGGTCAAGGTAATTTGGGATACTAAAAGGCGTAACCACATAAGCACATGTTTTTGGTATAATCCTGTCTCTTACCCATCGTTTCTTCCGTTTGTTAGTTAGTTAGCATGAGACAACCTAAGCCAGAGACAAAGGCAAGAGAAGTCCAAATCACAAACCTTGTGCCAGAACCTAGAATAAAGTAAATGGAGTACAGCATGTTCAGCACCACCGACATACACATCAACTGGGCTCCAGTACCTGAGACAAGCTAATAATATGAAATTTAACATGGTAAAGCAAACATAAGATGCATGATCACTGCATTAGACCAATCAAAGAATATTAAACTGGTGGAAGAATATGAAGTTTAGAGGTTGATCTTACTTTTCTTTCTCCTTAGAGACTAATTCTTTGGAATTTTTGGGATCCATAAATCTCAGATAATACCTGGTTGAAGACGGAAATGCACAAAGTCAAATCCCAAACCCTTTTTAAGACCATTTAATACCTGTACTTTACAAGTTCAAAAAGTTGCTGCAGACCACACCAAAATCATTACCAGCAAGAACCAGCCCACTGTGGCATGGTGCTTGTTTCTCTTCTACCAATTTTTCTGGATGATTGATCCAAGGTTCGAACCTAACAAGAAACTAAATTCAGCAGAACCCTAGCAGAAGAAGCTGGAAAAAAATGTTTCATAAGCGAAATAAGTGGACTAGGTGACAGAAAACATACCCACGCCTCTGCCTTCGACAATGGTGGTTTCCCCGTCCCCGTGGGTGTAAAGTCATCTAACTCAGGAAGCAAAAGAGGCAGGTCTGTTTCGCTGAGTGGGACACTCTCACCGGTTTCATCAAAGAAAATGATGGGTATAGGTTCCCCCCAGTACCGTTGTCTAGCAAAGAGCCAATCCCGCAACTTGTAGTTCACCTGTAAAGTTAAAATTTTAAGCAAATACAGGTACTCCAATCATTTCACTGTGAATTTGAACCACCCCTAGCCCAACCCTTTTAATCACATGGAAAATGTATTAAATAAAGAGAACATTGAACCTTCTTCTTCCCATTGCCAGTCTTCTCAGCCCATTCAGTGACTCTGGAAGCAGCTTCGCCGCTCAGCAAACCATTGATGTCAAGCCTAGACGTCGAGTCCGAGGAATTAATAATTATCCCTTCACCAGAGTAAGCCACCTTGGAATCAGGGCTGCTTTCCCCATCAGGAGTCACTACCCAATGAATGGGGATGTCATACTTTAGAGCAAACTCGTGATCCCGCGTGTCATGTGCTGGTACAGCCATTATCGCTCCTGTACCATAACTGCCAGGAGCAGAAAGTGTAGGTGATGCACATATTTTATGATGTGCTATCTGGAAAGAGAACCAACTTGAAAATACAAGAAAACATGTGGACGAGAAGTAACGGGGAATAAAAGTCATAGAGACCATTTGCTAAGAAAATGCTTCCAATGTTTTACTTTGGCAATGAGACTTACTCTAAATCTTTCAAAGAGGTGAAATTATACAATCAGCTAGCGATACATACCTCCCCAATACATAATCCGCAACCCATATAGGGATTGCTTCACCATTAGCTGGGTTGACGGCGAAGCGACCACTAAAGACACCAAATTTTTCCTTCTGGAGCTCAGTTCTCTCGAGGTCACTCTTTCTCGATGCTATGTCCTTGTATTCCTCCACCTATTGCAGCAGAATACAAAGTTAAAAGTCTGCTTACCATTAAAAAGAAACAAATACGAATTCAAAATAAGAAGACAATGAACATACATCACCACATTGGGCTTCAGAGACAAATGCCGACAACAAAGGATGCTCAGGTGCAACAACTAAGTACCTGAAAGAAAAAGGCATGGATGAATGCATGCAATAATCCAACCAAATTCGGTATGGAAGGGTTCCTGTGCAGCTAATATGAGGAAGAAGAAGTTTTACGTTACTCCAAAGATTGTGTCAGGCCTGGTAGTGAAAACAGTTAGCTCTAGATTTCTTTCCATTTTATCACCATCAACAACACGGAACTTTAATTCAGCACCTTCTGATCTCCCTATCCAATTTCTTTGCATTTCTTTGACGCTTTCAGGCCAATCGAGGTCATCTAGATCTTCAAGAAGACGGTCAGCATATTCAGTAATCTTGAGCATCCATTGCCGCATTGGCTGCTTGTAATAAACAATGACACTGTAAAATTATGAAACCATTCAAAATGATGAAATCAAGATTGTAACCAAGCTTAAAAAGGTCTTATTGTTTCCTATATCCCAGTATATCATTGTTTACCTTTCTTATAACTGGATGGCTGCCACGCTCACTCACACCATCTATCACCTCCTCATTAGCCAATACAGTACCAAGAGCAGGGCACCAATTTACTGGCACTTCAGCCTGAACAAGTAAACACTTGGACAATGAACATTTCAAACAAATACTGAATATTCAGACAGAAGCAAGTGGTTTTAAGTACCTGATATGCCAATCCTCTCTTGAAAAGCTGAAGAAAAATCCATTGGGTCCACTTGTAATATTCTGGTTCTACTGTGCAAATTTCACGATCCCAATCATAGGAGAAACCCAGTGATTTAAGCTGCAATTCCAATTACAGTGCAAGTGCCCGAATTTAAGACCATAGCTTGCCACATAACAGAAGCTTAGAAACTGCTTTAAACAGTGTCAATGATGAAACCATAAAGTAGTAGCCACAAAATTTTTTCCTGCATCAGAAGTAAACAGAGTATATATATGAAGAAGCATCTGTGAATGCTCTTACTTTCATTAATTGGATGCTCCATAAGAACCTCCTTAAAAGGTTTTACTTTGTTGAGTCCTTCTCGGATATTCTTTTGGATTGATTGAGGCTATTTTAGCTTTTCTGACTACCGCTAATAGTACCCTAGAAATATCCAAACCACTTTCTAAGCTATGAATCACAATCAAACAGCTAACACACCTCTCAGATGATCAAACCCCTCTTTGCAGTTTACTAGTACATGTGACCAAGAAGCCAAAACAAAGTGTCTCCAAGTGAGAAAAGAGGTCACAAAAAAATTTCAATGGCAAGTCTAGACCCCAGATTCTTTCCCACACAATTCAAAGCAAGACCAAGCTAATGCAGCTTTATGATAATGCCCTACACTAAACGAGGAAAGTAGGTCACCTGGGTGCGAAATCGGTTAATGTTCCTCAAAGTTGTCATTTTCGGATGGGTTCCGGTCTGCCAAACACATAAACAAAGTCCTGTTACAAACCATTACATAACCGCAGCAGAATTTTTCAAAAATGCACGTAATCACCAAGCCAAAATCGAAAAGAAAACCTCAATCGCATACTGCTCTGCAGGCAATCCAAACGCATCCCATCCCATTGGGTGCAAAACATTGAAGCCTTGCATTCTCTTGAATCTAGCAAGAATATCAGTGGCAGTGTATCCCAGGGGATGCCCAACGTGTAATCCCGCTCCACTGAATTGAAAACAATCAATTAGCAAAAAAAAAACATATCTCACTTCCAAGAACACAACATGAAAACCAAGCAAAAGGATGAATTCAGTCCGAATGGATAAACCTAAAATTATTGAACTGATCACAACCAACCCCAGTTGCTCAAGACACTCAATCGAATCATGCTTCCCAATTCCCATCCTTGGCCTAGTGAAGCTACCAACTTTGACATCACAATTACTCACTAACGATGACGACAAGAAACTAGAGAGAGAAACCTGGGATAAGGGAACATGTCGAGGACATAGAACTTGGGCTTAGACGTGTCAATCTCATCTGGGGTTCTGAAAGTTTTGTTCTTTTCCCAGTATTCTTGCCACTTCGGCTCAATCTCATGAAAAGGGTATGCTCTTTTCACCAAAGGCTCTTGCTCTTGCTTCTGCTGCTGCTCTTCAACCTCGGTCAATTCACCACTTACCCGACTCCTGATTCTTGCTCTACCATAAGCATTCCCTCTGCAGGTCGTACCGTCGAAGTGAATACCCAAGAATCTGTTCTTGACGGCGTGTCTGGGGACTAACTTTCTGGGAAAGATTGGTCTGTGGCCCTGAGCGAAGGAGGAGAAAGAAAGAGGCTGATAAGGAGACTGGCAAAGCAGCTGGCTGTGCAAATGCTGAGAGCTTGTAATCATCTTTCTTGAAGGAGTGTGTTGAGAGCGGAGGAGAGGAGATGAGAGAGAGAGAGGATGGGACGAAAGAATCAAGATAACGCAGGAAACCCAATCGTTAATGGCGGGTAAAAAGCCTCGGTGTTTTCTTTCATCTGTCGTCGTGGGTTTGCTTCCCACCGTCCCACGTTTCAAGGCCTTCGCTCCAGCTTCGGGCATCTGGGCTTTTGGGCTGTGGTTGTTTTGCGCTCGACCAGACGAGGGACAAATTGCTTCCATTGGAGAGATGGAAGTGACCTTTTGGTGTCTCCTCCGCTTAGACCGCGGTCAATGATTGGGCCGTGTATCGAACCTAAAAGTCCTCATTTAGGCTCACCCTTGATACGAGAAAATATCGTGTTTTTCTTGATTAGATGAACGGGTCTAGGCGTACCCGACCGGGTCTATATGGTTGGAGTCGGGTTCGAGAGAGAGAACACGCTTGCCTAGGCCCGCCCAAATGTGCTTCGGGCTTGATGGGCCCTAGTGGGCCCTACCTCAGTCAAGAATTGAGGCCTTCTAATCTTATCAAATATGTTTTTGGGATAATGACACAAATAATTCATGAACTTTGAGTAATGTGTAATGTAGTTCCTGAACTTTTGATTTTTTCAATGTAATCTCTGAACTTCTGGTACATATTCAACCTAGTATCTGGATTATATGAAAATGTTCAATGTTGTCCCTAAAATTAAATTAATGAAATGATAACATTGAACATTTTCATATAGTCTAGAGATTAGTTTAAACATGTACCAAAAGTTCAGGAACCACATTTAACAAATTAAAAGTTTATAGACTACATTGCACATTTAGCTAAAATTCAGGGATCACATTACATATTGGGGCCAAAGTTCTGGGACTATATGTGTTATTTTCCCTATATTTTTCTCTAATGCTGACTTACCATCATTTTTTTTTGTCTGTCTCCATCAAATCCTGCACATTGGTCTGTTTTCTTCTCGTTTTGGTTCTTTAACTTGTCCTTCCTTCTTTTCCCCCTCTTTTCCTGATCCTGTTTGTTTGTTTATAGAGAGAGTTCTACTTCCGGCTTACTCCATCTTATAAACTTGGCCCCTTTTTTTTTCACAATAGCTGAAGTCCACAACATTGGTGACTTGTGGAACAAAGTTCACAAAGAATAGGCAAAACCAAACGTTTTTAGCCGTTTTACATTGGTTTTATTGATTCTTTTTGGCCAAATATCAGTTTCATCGACTGATAGAGAACACGAAGAAATAATCTTATTTCAAGAGAAAATTTGCAGTACATGATTTTCCTGACGACTAACAATTAAAATGCGAGAAGCTTACAATAAAACTGCTGAGTGCCAAGATGAATAAAGTAGAGCAATCATATATTCTGCTACCTTTCTACTGCATAAACACCTATTGACAGATATATGGAAACATTATTGACCTTTAGTCTCTTCAGGCCAAGCCAATATCATCCTACTTAATATAGTCTGTGATCCTGATCTGAGCAATATAGCTTATGCTTCTCTAAGTTGCATCTCGAACTTCCGCTTTTTGAGCTACATTTGATCCGGAGACAAAGATAAAGGCAGGAAAAGGGACTTAGCCTATGCTGCTCGATACGATGCCCACAGAGGACAGTTCATTCCAACAGCACGCCAAGTTGGGGCTTGTGTTTATGAAGCATGTTTTTCTTTAAGATGCCTCTCTAGCTACTACCTTCCTGACATTAGACTGACGGAGGAATGGGCTTCACAGAAGGAACCAATGTCCCAGAAGAAAGTGTCGTCAGCGCCACCACTACCGACCTCATGGTCGGTCGAAGTTGAGGATTTTCTTGGGTGCATGCCTTAGCAAGGGTGGCCATCTGCAATGCAAACACTTGAGAAAGCTTTTTGAGTATGTGGACCATCATTCTATTGATATAGTTGAGTCCTCCAACTAAGCCTATGTCAAATTCCATAGAATACCTTTCTCCATTATCATCAGCTAAAGAACTGTTTAGGAATTAGCTAACAGCCCGTTTCCTAACAATTTAACCTTTTGGGAAAAACGCTTTGTCTAACGCTACCATAGTACCTTATAAACAGAGTCCAGTGGGTAATTGTCACCCAGCCTGGGGTCGACGAGTTTACAGAGGCTATCTTTTGGATTAGGCTGATTTAGAACATCCTCAAACTGCAAGACATTAGTTACATTCAGTGCAAGAAAAGCTGTTATGATGGTTAGGACGTTACTCCTGTTAGAATATAAGAGAGAAATGAGGGCGCGAGTTAAAGAGGACCAACCAAAGCAACAAGTCCTTTTGCTTCACTTGCAGATCCATTCATCTTTACAACAGCTTGTTTGGCAGATATGAGTTCATAGAGCACAACGCCAAAAGCATATACATCTACTTTGGGGGAGACATCACCATATTGAGCATACCTGCACAAAAGCATTGCCGGTGAAATCCACTCTAACCTCAGAATCACAGAAATTTCAGCCAGCAATAACGTTAGCAAATCTGGCGTCATCAATCTTTGGCCCTCTCAAATGATGAAATTTGCGAATGTTTCTAATAAACATGAATAACTTGAAAGTAAGTCTTACTCTGGCGGCATATATCCAAAGGTACCCACAAGATGAGTGTGTAAAGAAGCGCTTCCGTACTCGGTCAGTTTTGATAAACCGAAATCGGCAACCTGTAGACATGGTAATGCTTCAACGGTAGAGAGAATTTCATGTTACAAATACACTTGGAGTAGGGAAATTTTAAAACCTTCCCCCGAAAGTCTCTGTCTATCAGAATGTTCGCCGATTTGATGTCCCTATGTATGTAAACCGGGACAGTGTTCTCGTGGATATACTCAAGTCCTCTCGCAGAATCCAAGGCAATGTTCATTCTAGCCGACCACAGCAATGGCTTATTCTCTGTTGAAGAGAAGGAGGTTATAAGAAGAAAATAAAAAGTAGAAGATGTCCGATCCAAATGAATCTGGAGGATCATCTCACTTGAGCTTCGCAAATGTTGACATAAGCTCCCATTTTCGAGGAACTCGTAGACCAAGAACAAGGAACCTTCAATACAGTACCCTATTAAGCGTACCTGTAAAATATTTTGAGTGCATATATATAAGCATGTTACTTAGTAATGACTAAACATTCTGCTTCATAGAGCATCATCATTCGACGTCAAGCAGACCGGGAGCTTTCTGTATTTTCCTCATCACGGGCTAAGTAATTTTACTACTATTCACTGACTACGACGATTGAACTCTTGAAGTAACTATTCTTAATGTTCATATGGTGATGTCAAGTTCGTGTCGATTTTTATAGTTGAAAGTCCACCTCCCGGTAGCTAGAACAGGATATACACAGACGAGAGTGAAATCTCTCTACCAGATAATCACTGCATGAATTCCAAGGATTAATCCCATTTACTGACATTAGATCTGCTTCAACCGGTGCAGTAGTTGCTATCTTAATCATGGAACTACTCGAATACATTTAAGGAGAAAGTGAGTGAGCGCCCACGCTCCTCCCCCACCCCACCCCCCCACCCCTTACCATTTAGCAGACGAATTTCGAAGTACCGAGTTCATGAAATGATCAATTGAAGGAAAAGCTCATACCAAGTTCAAGTGATGAACACGGGTCAGAACCTTCAATTCCGCAAGGAATTCCTTTGATGCATGCATATCCATCTTCTTGATAGCAGTTTTCTGCATTTCAGCTTCACAAAATCAGCCTTTTCTCTTGTCAAAGAAACACAGGCAATCAGTCTCACATTCAAAATCCCCCTAGAAGAATTGAAAAATAAGTGATGGTAAAGTCTCATGGGTGATTCACGAAAACCATCACGTATAACTAGTCACAAAGGATTGTAACTTCATCAAATGAGACCAGAAGCGTAACTAAAATCAGAAAGAGAGGAAGGGAAATAACCCATCCAGCACTTTAGTAGAGTTAAGAAACACAAATTTCGCTTAACGTTCTATCTGTATTTACTCTCACGTCTAACATCAGTGCTATCATCACCAGCTTTCATTAAAGTGTTCAGTCTCACGACTCTCGCCACTCTCAACTTGCTGTTCCTTAATTTCTGGTTTCCTATTGTTGCTGAATATTTTATGTTTTTCAGAACGCTTTTCACATTTTGGGTCAGCTTTTTCCCTGCTACTTAATTTGTGAGAATGATTTGGGAGCGAGCAACAAACCTCGCCTCTCAGTTCGGCATAGTAGACAGATCCGAAGCCACCTCTCCCTATCACAGTAGCCCCACTAAAGCCATTTGTAGCCCGGGCTAGTTCCTCATATGAGAACTCTACAGATCGGTATACCGTGATACCTGGGAGCTTACGAGAAGCACCAGCAACAAGTTCCGATTCCAAAGGTTTTCCTTCTGAACCTAGATCCACATGTTATTGAGAATACATAGTCAAGGATCACACAAAACTCGGCGCTTACAGATAAGAAAGCCGTGACAAATATGATCTAATTAGTGACGTAGCATTTGCTGTTTCTAGTGAGATGATCAATTGGAACCAGAATTAAGACCTTGTCCGTGCTCGAAGTAACTCTCATCAGATGCTTTCAAAAGAGTCAATGCCTCCACCACCTTCTTCTTTCGGTAAAAACCGGTGCAGAAACAAAAATCGGCCAATGCAAACGCAGCTACCCCTGCAATTACTATGCCAGCGATGGCTTTGCTCGAGATTCCTGATCAAAATTAGACCCAGTGTTACTTGCAGGATGAACTAAGGCCTATCCTGACATTTGACCTCAAGCAATTAGAGATCAAGGCTACAATAAGGGAAGCAATGCTCATAAAAGATCCAACAACCTCGTCTGCAAAAGAGAGAACGGGAACTTCAGATTATCTATGAGAAACTAAGAAAACATCGTAATGAAGCTCTATATTCATTCTCTCAGACTGTGATACTGGGACTCACCTTAACTTCAATGGAGGGTAGTTCCCACTTGGATCTGCAAAATTCATGCGAAATAGTGTCAGGTACAACTTAATGAGAAACTGAGGATGAAAACCAAAACCTTAATAAAGAAGAGAGTGCACTCTCCTTATAGTCATACGATCATATCATACCACAACACTATAGGAGATCCTATAATCTCTAAGCCTTTTTCTCGCTTCGAGTTCAATCAGTATCAGCAATCGAACATTCTTCACTTCCCAACATCATTTTCGTTTTGGTGAATTATATACTCAGCATAGGCTACATTTCACAAATGTTAAAAGTCTTCCATTTATTTGTCATGTGACCCAGAACGCGACCGAAATGGAAAATGCAGAGACTTGTTTTCTAGGACTTATTGCTGAGAGACATGTTAATGGGTTCGGCTGAGCTTTTCCAATGTCAAACACAAATAAGTCCCAAGCTTTTCTCAGTCAGCTTATAATATGGATATTCATGGCCGTGCATTTCAGTCAACATATGTGGAAAAGGAGATATTGCAGACGAAATGGCATGTCACGATGAGAATTTTTGTCAGGAATTCATGAGACTTAAACCGCGTTGCTTTTCTGGGGCGCTTCGGATGCATGTAAACTCGGTTTTTACCCACACTATTCGATTGCGTGGACACCACATGAGACACACATGGCCTCACGGCTAGGACGAATTCGGCACATATGTACTCGGTCCACTCGACACTCTCCAATCTATTAGATGTTACCTGTTTTCCATCCATTGAACAATATCGCCTTTTACAGCAACTGTCAAGTCATTTCATGGGAAATGGTTATCATCTTGATTAAAATGAATTTTACCGTAGTCCATGAATAATACGAATATTTTCATAATTCAAAAGATCAAATAAAGGTACAACCTTTAGCCGGCACAAACACCAGCCCCGTCCCTCCACTAAAGTCTGAACCCGGGTTGTACAGCTCCAGCAACCGGGTGGGCAGGCCCGACTCCACCGCCAACCCCGCCAAGTTGTCCCCCGGCCGGAGCGGGTATGTCACAAACGCTCCGTAGCTCCTGGACACACGAGGTTCCCCGCACGTGCAGTTCACCGTCACGTTTATCACGGCACCGTCCGGTATATGGGAGGGGTCATACCCGTTGACCCGGAGCATCCACTCCACGGTCGTCAAATTGGAGTACTTGAACATGGCGACCCCATAGTACGTGTCGTCCGACTGGGTCACGTACGTGAAGGTGTGGCCGAGGAAGTCGCCGTTCAGGCAGTCGCAGGCGAAGGGCACGTTGACCCGCGTCCTGGCGGCGACGGCGTCCCCGCCGGAGACGCTGGGGTTGTAGCGCCAGACCTCGGCGACTGGCCTGTTGAAGAGGTTGCTGATGTAAGTGAGGTTCGACGCCTCCCACACGTAGTACGACGCGACGGCCAGCTCGCAGCCATGCCTGCACTTGGCCTCAGCTCCGAAACAGAGGATCAAAACGAGTTGGAAGGCTAGTATCACGAACCGGGTCGGTGTCGTTTTCGCCGACGATCGTGCTCCGATCATCTTAGCGGAGCGAGGGAAGCTTTGAGCTCGGGGAGCACTAGCATCTGAGTGGGGGTGAGTCCACCGAGTTGGGATGAGTTGACCCGTGAGGAATGAAGGTCTAGATACAGAGGAAAGAGAAGGTGGTCAAGGGTCAGCAGGTTCAGGTGATGTTTGTCGTCACCTTGGTCGATGATTCGCTCTGAAATCTGATGTTTCAACCGCACACACACTCTCCTCGGATTTGATAAAATATAATTCAAGGAATCATGGGACTTTCCAATGATTGATACCGTCCAAGACGATGCATCTATATTATTCTAATAATCTTCTTGGCCATGCATCATGTAAGAATGACCTGTTCTCGTATGATAGTTCAAACGTTATGGTGGCCCGGAAGATTTTTCAAGTTATGTCATGTAGGCCACTGCATTTTTTGAATTGTGATTAATTCTGTTTATCACATTTTTTTAATTGTGTTAAGGATCTAATAAAACAATCCTTCTATCAATAGGATGGGATTATGAAAAATGCATTACAGTTTTAGTCGACGGTCGAACCGTTGAATGTTCGAGAAAATCAGGATTTACCCATCGGGTGAGCGCCTGGTTTTTGTTTTTTCAGTTTAATGCCTCACGTGATTTGCGAAATGAACTATTCTGCTCATGTTCAACTCCACCAAGTGATGTTTTGCTTATTAAAGCATGACAAGAACGAATCTAAAATCTTTGTACCGATTGATGAAGAACAAATCTTGGGTTTGATACCTAACCATGAGGAATAAAAAACTGGAAGAACGATGTGCTCAAGATCGTAGAGAGTGAATGGGAATCAAGTTTCATCTTGTCAAGAGTCCTGCAGTCAATCGCCCAGAAACTAATGGATGAAGAAGACGAAGCTGAGCTGCGAATGGCATTACGTTTATGGCTGGTGTGGTATCAAAGGACAAATTGAAGGAATGTAGACCCACTCTCTTTGGTTAACTTCCAAGCTTTCCAAAACACCATGAGGAAAGGTTGGAGAATTGAAAATGTAGCATTCACCCAAATGGAAACCAGGTGTGTTTGCTTTTACCTTCGATTCTGAGGCTGCCAAAAAAAACAAGGGTGGTGGAGTTTGGGCCTTGGTCCTTTGCTAATCATCTGTTATAGCTGAAGTCATGAGAACCAAACACCCTTCCTTATGGCTATGAGTTTAACTCCTGCACTTTTTGGGTTCAAATCCATGGGCTCTCTCCTCAAATGGATTTCAGAGGAAGCGGTTCGCCGAGCTGCGTATAATATTGGCTTTGTTTCCGAAGTGAAGGTTGAAGCTAAGGGTTTTGCCTCCATTAAAATCGGAGAGGGCGAGAGTTACTCTAGATCTATCATCCCCATTAAAATGCGGAATCATAACTAGCAATGAAGGGAAGAAACCATGACTAGATTGTAAGTGCGAGAGACTTCCCCGTTAATGCTATTCCTGCGGAAATATGGGACACTATACCAAATACTTTTAAGAGGTGGCTTATAATGAGGATAGTTTTTCCTCAGAAAATGAATGCCTTTTTGGCCAGTTGCTCAAGTCAGAGGTTCGTGAATATAGTCCCTACTGGAAGTTGTTTCATGTAAGAAAGGATGAAGAAAATATTGAAAATGAATTCATCTCGAAAACTCCAGTGCATTCGGGACAAATTGTGCCTTATGACAGAGGTGAATCCAGCCCACAAAAGCAGCCAAACAACAGTCAGAAAGAAAAGGAAAATGGTATAGTTCTTGAGGAAATCTACTCAGTAATGCATGACAGGCAAATGACTCAGATCCTTCCACTCATATTTCAACCCCTGTCCAAATCAGGGTGCTTCACTCGACCCATGGCCCAGAAGAGTTTCAAAAGAAAGAATTCAGAGGGCAAAAAAATTCCAGACAGCAAGAAGGTTAGAAGATATAACCCTTATGAACCTCAGATTTCTAGTTAGTCATTACTTGATTAAATTTAATTGCTGAAAACTCGTGTTCCAAATGGTAGCAGTGGACTAAAGACGGGCTCTGGTGGCTGGCCCTAATAAGTCACGGGATTACAAATGAAGCTTATATGCTGGAATTGCACACCCCTGACAATCCAAGCCATTAAAGCCCTCATGGCTCAAGAGTGTGCTATTCTTAATGGATACTAAAAATCAAGAACAAGAACACTTTCAGAAAAGTTTTGCGGTGAACCCCAATAGGCATAGCAGGGGGCATGGCAGTCTTATGGAATGAGTAGGCTTTTATTGCTATTGAGTCAACACCAGCAGGTCCTCCTGGCACGTGAGGAACACCGCTCAAGCCCTTCCACGTGTGCACTCGAAGATATGTTCCGCAAAGGCCACTGCAGATATTTGCATTGGCAGCTTCATTACAAAATCACACGCCAAGATAACGAAAGGCTCCAAGCTTTTTTGAGCTCCAGACCAGCCATGGAGTCCTGCACGATCCTGCCGTTTTCTCGGAGCCTCTCCCTGCTTTCTCGGAGACCCGACAGACACGAAGCCCGTCCCGCTTCGTCGCTCTTCAAGCGTCGGAGCTCTCACCCCGCTCGCATCCGTTGCCACAAGATGTACGTCCCCGGTAAGTACCGTTTCGCATGCTCTCTCCATCTCTCTGCCTTTTCTCTCTCTCTCGATCAGTCGTTTGATCAGTATATTGATGAATTCGCATTGCAGGGTTTGGAGAAGCATCGCCGGAGAAGAAAGCGGCAAACCATCTGCACAAGTTCTTCACTTATATCGCCGTCAGGATCGTCAGCGCGCAGCTTGAGGTTCTTTTGCTTTCTATTTGCTTTACCACCTTGAGGCGTGAGAATTTTGACTGATGCCGGATGGTCTTATCAGTGAACCGTGCTTGTTCTAATTTTTCGATAGATTAACAATGGTGTCGGCTCAACTCGAGGGCTGTAACAACTACCAAGTGTGTGTGCATGGATAAGTGGTTGCTTGGATCTATCCAGGTTCATGTTTTTAAGGCAATTATGAACTTTCAAGAGCTTTAAAACTATCAGAACTGCTGAATTATGTGCAAGGGTGTGCACTTTGAACAAAAATCCGGCGTCTGTTGCTGTCTTGTGGCACAAAACATAGGCTGACACGAATGAACATAGCCACTACTACACAGCACTGTAGCAATTTTGTGAAGTGCCATGTATGTTTGGGCCAATTTTATCTGTTACTGTTGATTTCCCAGAGCAGACCTATAACCGCGAAGCGTACGAGGAGCTGGCAGAGTTTTTGAGCCGGCACTCTTTGAACGACGGGGACAAATTCTGCGCCGACTTGATGAGAGAATCCTCAAGGCACCAGAGCTTAGGTTAGTTTCTTCCTTATATCCCTCTGGATTAATCTGTTATGGAAATTTATCTTCTCGCCGACGTTATTTAACTCGAACTCTAAGGAAGCCGATGATTCTAACATCGAATGTAATGTAAGACTGTGTTTTGTCTTTCCTGCTAATGATATTGAACTTGACTTGAGCTTTGGTTCTGGTGAATCATGGTTTGTCTTCCAAACTGCGAAGCTTTGCGCATTTTAGAGGTAAGCCGATGCTCTCTTCTTTCCTTTCCTTCTTCCTATTTCATTGTTTACAACATCTATTTACTTAATCGACTTGCGCGATGTTCCAGGTTCGATCGGCATATTGCAAGCAAGATTTCGAGTGGGATAACCTGAGACGAGTAGCTTCTAAGGTAAAAGGCGATGTTCTTCTTATGTACAACTTTCCCATTTCGGAGGCCTGTTTGATTTCGATGATTCATGGGGGTGGTGATTGTTCAATTGGCAGGTGATGGATGAAGCTAACACAAGGCTCATGAGGGAGTACGTGTTGGAAACTAGTCATGCGGAAACAGAGAGAGGGAAGTGATCGGTTTTCTGGTCCGTTTCATGTGTGCTTTTAGGCCATACACGCAGTTCGGTTCGTTGCCATCGTACTATATTGTATAGCGATTTCAACTTTGCATAGAAGGAGATCAATAGATGAAGATTCATATGTGAGAACTTTCCTTTCTCCTACGATAAAGTCCGACAGAGCTTGTATCATGGAGGGATATCGATCCCGCCATCTCTCTGCATATGTGGTTGAAAGTGAGCTACTTCTGCTTCCAAGAAAGTAACCGGCGCAAGTTCTTTCGAGACGATTTGATGTATTAATTGAATTAGTGCCATAAGAGTTTCCGAAGCTTGGGAGATCAGTGTCTTCATCAAACCCATAATGGTACTTGTTAAGTACCTCAAACTTCTCTGAATCTAACAACGCATCTACTACCTAATAAAGCAATATGAATATTTTGGAAGAGCAGCCTTGGGATCGGCGGCTTCGCTCGCCTCCTCAGAGACTACCTATGCACCATCTTCAAGATAGAGTTGGGGCGGGGTCTACGATGTGAGAACTACAATGTACCATTTGAAAAGGAGTTTTCAAATGGTACATCGTAGAAACTCGAAGTTTCTGTCTCAATTTGAAAAGGAGATGCTTCTACTTTGAAGAACCATCCAAAGAAATGAAAGGGTGCAATCTGTCCAAAGTCGTAAAATATCGGACGACGAAAATGACATTGTTTTCTCAAATGTAACAAGGCTACTTGGAAGAAGATTCTTCCCTGGATATTCCCAGATCTTTTTTCAGTCTCTTTTATCATGACATTCCTCTTTTAGAACGATAAATTGCTTTCTCGAGAAATTCTTCGATGCTCCCAAAGAATGTCATATCGTCCACTCAAGTCAACTCAGTTGGATGAGATATTGTCTTTTCGTATGCAATTAATATGATGTATGGACTCCTCTCGTCCAATTGCTAGTTTCTCAAGGACAGGCAGGACATTCATGAGAAAATGAACATGCTTTAAAAGGTCATATCTTAAACCTCCATTAATGGTTTGAATACAATGAGAAATACCATAGAACACCTAAATTACGGTATTGCTTCCGGAGTTATATGTTGCTACCATCCCTGTGAGTTGATTGTGATGAGCAATGCTCTTGCATAACTAAGCTCGCTCATATTCTCCTTCGGATGCGCAAAAACAACTTACTTGGATTACTATGCAACCTTCCCAGCTGCATTATTCATACCTCCACCCCCTATAGACAAGCAGATCCACAAAATAAGCAGACGGGGAAGAGGAAAGCTTAGTGCCAACCTCGAGCTCTCAATGCTGATAAATGCATAGAATCATGATAGTCCAAGGAAAATGAATACTACCTTTACATATTCAAGGATGTCATCTGAGGAATGTATTTGCCCTGTACTGAAATATGACTGAGCATTTTCCTCAATGTTCTCCAGCCTGCAGTTGATAACTTCACATCATCTTCTTAAAATGAAGACCAAATAAAAAATACTGAACTCGACACATGACAACAAGTTGATATAAGCAAGTGTGACCCTTTTTTATGTGTTTCGCACTTTATACCGTTTCATCTAGATTGAGGAGTGCATCGAGTTGAGTGAAGCCGACATAGTGCCAGGCTCAAAGCTCAACTCAACTCAACTCATAATCTCAAAGCTCAACTTGAGCTTGATCGAGTACTTCTTGTCAAGCTTGAACTCGAGATAATCGAGCTCAACTCGGCTTGACTCAATTTTAAGTATATAAAACTCAACATTATTTTTCTGAGCTTGGTCAAACTTGACTTGGCTCAGAATACTAGCACTCACCCTTTTTATTTGTGCTTAAAATAATAATAAATGGTGAAAGGATAATTACATAGTAAAATTAATGGGCTACTCAATGAGGCTCGCGGCCCAATAAAGTCAAGTATCTTTAAGCTTGAACTCAGCTCGACAAGCTACTCAAGCTAGTTGAACTCGACGTGAGCTCGAAAAAAATGGAGCCAATCTTGAATAGGTGAAAAAGTCGAGCACGAGTAGCTCACAAGTAGCTTGACTTGCTTGCACCCCTTGGCATAGGCAAAATCTGGAGAGAAGCCTGGTTTTATTATTCAGGTGCCGAGACAATGTCTCAGCTACGCTTCCTCATCCTTGAACTGCTCATTTGACACAAAAACTTTCAGGGACATCGGTTTGAGACAATTACCTATACACATAGTTTACCATGATGCCAGCACTTTGTCGCTGTCCTTTCTCTGACCGATCTGCCATCCAATTTATTCTTTCAACCATCTGTTCCCCAATTGAGGAAAAAAATAGGAAAGAGCAAGTTAATAGAAAATTTTGAATGTTTATTTTTCTAGATCATTTAGAAATTTTAACTTTTAGAACGAAAGATTTAAGTTTGAACAGTTTACCGCTCCATTTTGCAAGTGAAAATTGGCCACAGAGTCTAATGCCTTGCCTCTCTTTTTCTCTTGCAAAAGGTACCTGCAGTCATTCAACCAACTTTCATATATTTTATATACATTGCCACTATCATCTGCACAGAAATTGAAATTGAATGGCAGGTAATAGCACTTCACCCAATACCAGAACTTGACTCACTGTTACATTTTGCAAATCAATATTGTTCAGCAATACTATGTGATACTTGTTTCCACCATAAAATTGATTTTACTAACACACCAGGCACATACTCGAGTTTGGAGAGAAAAAATTTTACCTGGCACAGAGCCGCATGAGTGGAGGCTTCAATACTGAAACCATTTCAGGTGAGTTGGCCCATGTGTAGTCATTTGTGGTCAGCAAATTAAACATCACTTCCATTCCATTTTTCATTGCTTTGTATTCCCTGCAACCCGACCCAAAGAGTTCACCTTGTGGCACACAACAATTTATATGAACATGGAGGAGAAACTGACCAAGAACAGCTATTTATTCTGAAAAGGACATTACCAATCACAATCTGTTGATTCAGGAAAAAGATCTCAGATAAGCAACTAAAATGCTCACAAAAAAGAAGACACTGAATAAGTTTTATCAGGGATGGACCGAGACTAGCAACAACTTTATCCAACAGAAAAAGAGATTTCCGTAGATCATATAAGGCCTCCAGAACATTCGTCCTTTAAATATAGCGCAGAGCTATGATTGACTAGTTAACTAAATATTTGCAATTAAGAGGCAGAAAGTAATTTAACCATGGAGGAACTCCAAGGTTTAAATCTTTCTATTATCTACTGTTGCATAACATGTCAAGTACTAAGTAGACGATGAGTCGAAATCTTAATCACAAGAAATGATACCACATCCTTGATCAATCCCTGCTCAACTGCACAGACAATTGGTCCATCTTCTAGTCTTAAATCTCAAGCTCTGGGTCAATTTACCATTGTATAAAATAGTACTTACGGGACATAAATCGTGAGATAAGCTCCTCCAAGCTGTTTTAAACATGAACAGTCTATACTTGGGACCAACCCATGTGTATGATCCATAATACAAAAAAAAAAAATTGATCGATCGAGCCCACACATCGTGCTTCGAAACAGTACTTAAGGTAACTAGGTGATGACAGACGCGTGGTGTTTCATCATACGCACAAAATGATCAGAGGAAGCTCAACAAGATTACTCTCAAAGTTTCATGAACCGGGAATTGAGCGCACCAAAAGCTTATGATATAATAGAAGAAAAGGCTTACTCAGACAATTTCAAGAGCGCCCTTTCCTCTTCTGGTTCAAGTATATTTTCGCAGAATGATGAGCCAGATTGATCAGATGATGTACGTGTGGCATCATCTGTTTCGGCCAGCTTTAATTGAGATGCCAACTTAGAGAGTAGCCATTGCATGTACCCTGGGATTGGGCTGAGAGTAGCAAATATCTACATGGGAAAAGTGACAAGCTTCACGAGGCAGTTGAAGAACATTTCAGGGGAAAAATCATAAAACTGAGCATCAGAGGGAGGCAAAAGCTTTCAAGAAATTTAAGTTCTAAAGAACATGGTTAAGAATCATGATCTTTCTTTTTTGCTATTTTGAGGTTCATTAATGGTGGCACTATTCAGAGAGAAATATAAAAAATGAAATATTAGGATTTGGAACTTATCTGATATGGACTGTCAGAAATTAGCATAAAACTGCTTTCCACAGGAATGTTTCTTTATTTGCCAGTCCATTGAAGATAAAAAAAATAACTGATGTTGGCTACTCTTGACTGTCTAAATTAGAAAGAAAAAAAATACTTTTGATTATGGAATGGAGATGGTTCCTGGGCTTGCATGAAAGTGCATCAAAACCCCTATGCCGTGAACTCTAATACTATCTCATATATTAATTAAAATGTGGCTCAAGCTCACTTAATGTCAGACTACTAACAAGTAACTCTACTCACGGCATTGTAACCCCTTTTTGAACTGTTGTGCCAATCATGAGTAAGAGATTCCTATCCAATGCCAGTGAAGGACCTTCATAAACTTCGTATCATAGTTTCTAACTATTACAGACTAAGGTGAATTGGTAAATGACTTCTCACACAAAAGATTGTAAAAGCCAGAAATTTATGAAGGCGAAACAAACCGAGCAATATCTTCATTTTGTCAGTAATGGGGCCAAAAAAGAACTTGATAGCAAGTCTAAAGTAGTCATGGAATTAATCGACTGAGCTTTCTTCTCTAAACCAATTAAACCCAAGTTAAAGAGTCTGAAAACTAGGTATCGCTTAACATATAACAAAACAGCAAACAAATAAGCAGCATAAAACATTGGTCACTCAACTTCTCAGTCCTACATATTGAAGAATAAGCAAACACTCTCTCATACAACACATGTATGCAAGTTCTAACTGATACTGGAAATACTCACAGAAATTTGAGGCATGTCTCGTTTCACCAGTGTGATGACTCGTTTAATAAGAAACTTTCCAAGGTTGATCCCTGTCAAACCAGGCTGCAACATTTCCATGTGTGCATACTATTAGGCATGTAAAAGCATCTTTTGAATTCGGCCATAAAAACAGTAGATACTAGTGTAGTCATTGAACCACCATAGGTGTATTTCATCATATGCATGACTCATGGCTGCTTGGACAATCCCCAGCACCAACAATTATACAACTGCTTGAGTTCAAAATTATCTATTTCCAAACTTTTCTCGTTTCGATAGCGCAAACTTGAAGCATGGTAGTTTACAGTTTAACTGAAAAGCCATAAACTCCCACTGGCAGATTCTAATTGCTAAATTCAGGCATCCAGATAGATCCAGATTACATGCTACAAAGGACAGTATTGAGGTAAACATGATCTAAAATTTGTAAGCAATCCAATAAATCCTGTTGATAAGTATAAATATTGACAATCACGTGCTTTATGATTTCTATATTTCATATAAGCGAAAACTAAGGAATGTATAAGCCAACCTGAGTTGACGATATAGAGTAAAACAATGCGCATGTTGCTTCATGCTCAAGTATGGGAGGATCATCCCACAAAACCTCCTGTCGTCCAATGAAAGAGTTAAATATAGAGATCTCTGACAATTAGAAAATTCACATCATGTACGACATGCCTGTATTGTCTGAGCCACAGTTTTCAAAAGTGCAACTTCAATGAATATGAGAGGTTCTCCTGCAAAAAGATTACATGCAGGAGCAATCACTCTAGTGTTCCTTACACCCGGAAACTCAAATTTCATGCATTTGTGGAAGTTATCTCATTTGGAGGTTGGAGATCATAAAAATGTAAGTACGTGATGCTAAAATGCTTGGGAATAGAACGGGGCTCAAGGAAGATGTGAATTGCAACCAACTTATTAAGAAACCAAGCCACCCAAAGAAATAAACATCATTTGATGGTCGAATTGACAACCTTTGACTCTTAGACACCCCGGCAAAACCAGCTGTGAAGGGAGCTGTATTGTAATTACATCAAAATGTAGTCCAGCAATGCACTTTCATATTCTGTACTGCCGATTGGGCATACTTAACAAGGAGATACCTTAAAAGGGCTAGCAAAGTAAATTCCAACTTATGAAATCATATGTACTGTTCAGTGCTAGCTATTATTTTGTAACGGCCAAGGAACATGAGAAAAAACACACAACTGGCAAATAAGTGCATAAAAAAGGATGAGCATTGATAGGAAGCATCGAAAGTTGAAGATCTAACCAGGTATTGCTGGATGTAAATATCCAAAACAACGACGTCCCACGCCCAACCTTCTCTTAAGATCTAGAAGATTGCTGATAGGATGCACAGCCTGTAGTGAAAAAAATAACTCAGAAAGGCCCTTAACCATCACACTCCAGAGGTAGGAAAAGAATAAGAGAACAAACCTCGTAGGCCACAATCTTTTCTAGCAAAGAAGCAGGATAATCCCATGTGATTTGATGAAGCTCTAAAGCAGCAGGACTAAGCCACGTGCCAAGTTTCTCCTTCAAATAGGAATCCAGTGCTCGCAGGGATGGTATATTTTCCTCTCTGTTTTTATGAAGATTATTCCAATCAAAATCAGATCCCCAATTAGGCCTGAAGCACTTGTCCTTTTTATATAAATGCATGTACTTCACAATTAATCACAAATTAGAAAATTTAAATAGTAAAAAGTGCTATTTTACTGCTCAATACAGTACGGACGTCCATAAACAATGTGAAAGAATCGACTTCACCAAAAGATTAGAAGCTGTCGTGGCCATATATAACCAAATCATTTATGTAATATGAACCATAACCTTACGCGAGAATCGACAGTATATCAGCTCGAAGGATAGACAAGAACTTCAACCCTCCAGGATGCGTGTTCAATCTCTCAAAAAGAACTTCATATGTTGGCTTAAGAGCATGTCTCAAGTTTCTCTCTATACGATAGAACGGAGAAAGCAAGCTTTCCTCCACAACATTACCCTCTTCAGCTGCATCAGCTAAAATGTCAAAGTTCCAAACAATCGCTAATTTCCCAACAAGAGCACATACAAGAATGATGATTACTGATAGACACATGCAAACCAAATTTCTAACCTTTTGGAAGCTCAAGTCCGAGATACTGCTTTATCAATTCCCGCACTTGTGCTCTATTGAGATCATACTCTTTGGCAAGCAAAAGCAACAACGCCTTACGGCTTTCTCCAGAAAGGCTAACATAACCCTACATTTTTCATTTTTGACACTGTGAGAACCCGAAAAGTATAACTGTATATTGCCTTGCAAATTTGATTAACAATCGGTCAAACCACTCATCCCACCTCCGTGAAATCATTGAGCACAGCATCCAAAACCTCTGTTTTGTTCATCGATATTGCCGAGTGCATCGACTCCTTCACAAGCTCAAACGCCCTGTCCGTAAAATTCACAACACTATCTCTTCAACCCAGGTTGAAGAACTCAACAACGACCTCGACAACCAAAAACTGAACCTCATCCCACCAAGTGGGGTCCAAAAAAGTAGACGCAAAACCATTTCTTTATTTTCTTTAACAAAGAGAATTATCAGAAAACCTTTTATTTTGGCATGAGAAGTTGGTCTGATCATTTCCTTTATCTGAAGCAGGTTCCATGTCACTTCCACCGGATTGATTTGCTTGACTATCAGGTGTCGCCCGGTTCAATTTCTCCTGTTGCGTAATCAATTCAAAAGAGAACAGCTTCATCATCTTCTCCAATCACTCCGAAACCAAAAAAGAAACAAAGGAAAAGAAAAAGATCAACTTTTCCCGACAAACTGAGAATTCCATGTCCAACAATCAAGAAATGCAGCATCGCCAGAGGTCGCTGCGACAATACTGAAATGGGAAATCCAGACACGTCCCAAGAAACATCAAAAGAACCTCAACATGAGAGAAAGACTGGGAAGTGATTACAGCGAGAGGGGAAAGAGAGATCTTGCTGCTGGAATCACTGGGCCTCATCCTGGCTCTCATCAAGATGGCCAACCCCTTCTTGTTCATGCTGTTGGGTGGTCTTGATTGCAACTGCTGCTACATGTGAAAAGGGTATTCTTGATGGGTATGCTTCAACAACGAGCGCAAAGGATTCGGACTTTCTTGGAACAGAGCATCTGTCTGTTCACACGTCGTCTCCTACAAATGCCATTGCGATCATCCGGTGATATGACTCTCTCTCTCTCTGTCTCTCTCTCTCTCTGCGTGGCAATGTTCTTCTTTCTTGGAAAGTTTGCATTTTTGCTCCCGAATTTTGAGAAATGTTGCACTTGACACCCTAAAATGTGAAGCGCAACTAGTCATTGCCGTTTATTAGTGGAATCGTACCACATTGAGTAATGACAATTGGTTTATTTTAACTATTCATGATTTTGTATTTCTGTAATTGCGACTACCGAATTTGTCGTGAATCACATGTTTTCCCTAAATTCATATGTTTAATTTGTAAAGTAGATCCATCTTTCTTTTTCTTTTCAAAAAGGATTGAACAAAAATAATACGGAAAAATGTCGGTTATCGCATCCGAGCACTGGCATGTAGTGATATACAATAGCATGAGACAAAGCTACATCTCAAATTCATGAAGAGCAAATCCAATCGCCTCACCAACTTCACCCTTTCTTGAGTATACTTAACCGGAAGTTAAGAGTAGTGGAAAGATCAACGTTAACAATATGAATTTTAATGATTTTGAATTCGCTTTTGAAATTCATTACCCATCAATGAGCCATGAGAAAACAAATTTTTTTCACTTGTCCTATAGTTGATTGATGGTAAAAATGCTTGCTCGCCTTTGCATTCTTAGCCACCAAATGGCGACCATGGCATGCGCCGTCGTGGTGCCATTACACTATCTACACATTGGTCAGCGTGATCTTTACTACGCATTCAATTGAGTGCTAAGTGACAGATTATTGAAACTCAAATGAACGTTTTTAAAAAATGACGACACTCGAATGAATGTCTTTTATAAACCATCAAGTTAAAGTGATAAAAAAAAAATTATGGCACTATTTATCGTGACATTTGTGCAAGACTCTAATAAGTTATATTGCTTCCCTACTTTTCGTTGCGAGTTCGTTGCCTTTGATGAGACTGTCTCAACTCTCCGTGCTCGCGTGTCTATTACCCTGCGTCACCAAGCAGACAATAAAGAACGCAGATTTTCAGACAACGAAAGAAAACCGATCAGACGTCCAGCTGAATCCAATTTCCAAAGAGACCCCCCACCTCCACTCAAGAAACCAAAAACGAAAGGAAAAATTCCTCGTTCGGCAATTTGCCATATTCTCAAATCACACACGCAGCATACTGATGATGTTGTTTTGAGACCAGATCCTTGTAACTCAAGACACCACCCCCATCTGTTGACCATCTTGTCCTAGATAAGAAGACCCAGTTCTCCGAAAAAGCCGAATCCTTCAAGTCTCGGCAAAGGACCCATTTGCTTCGATCATCCCAGATCCAAAAGTATGAGATGGAAAAGTCGAACGGGGTAATCAATGATAAACCCGGTGAAGAAAGCCAGCCCGGCTCGGCCGATTTCCGGGCCGGCTCGCTCCACCCCAGGTCCCCGAGGAGCGGCCCCGCCGAGCCGAGCGGGCCCCAGCCGAGCCGGTTCTCGAGCCCCGACCTCTCTTGCGGTAATGGGTCCTCGTTTTCTTGCGTAAAGATGGAAGCTTTGGAGTTCCTGTGGGGACGTGATAAGGAGCGCTCGAAAACTCAGCAGAGGGCGAAGAGGAAGATGGCGAGAAGGTGGTACCAGAGAAGGGGGGTTGTTTTCGTGATTGGGTTGATGGTTTGTTTTCTCTTGGTGAATTGGTTGATGTTCTTGAGCTTGCAAGATCACAAGGTTAGCATTCAAGGTGGAGTTGCAGGGAATTCGTCTTCTGCAGTTTCATTTCGTATCAAGGTATGCCTTCTGCTGCTGTTGTGATTCAATTCTTCGGAAGAATTTTGTTTGGTGGATTATATAAAATCATTCCATGGTTGTGAAGCTTTTCATTAGATGTGTCGCGCTAAAAGGGAAATGCTGGGAAGATTTGAATGGAACAGCTTTGACATCTTCCTAATGCCACGGATGGACGTGGACGAATCTTTTGTAGTGTTTAATGGATAAATTCTTCTTTAGACCTCGTAAGTGGGCTGGCATTAATTATTGAACCATTGAGGGAAGTAGTACCATGAACCTTGGTCGCTATATTAGTGTGATATTTGATTCTGTCAAGGTCCAGTGTTGTTGTCCAAGAATTTGCATTGCATTTGTGCTAACTGGCTCACAAGTGTGGTCTCTTGATACGTAAGGATAATTCACCAAAGTAAAAAGTTATTGTTGTTGGAGGGAAGCCAATACTCTGAAAGTGCCTGGGAGTTGACTCAATATTGAAAATCTTTTGTTTTGTTCAACGAAGAGGAAGCTTGCCTTAGTTTGGTAAAATATAACTTGTGCAGCTAAGATTTGCATCTAGATGGCAATATACAGAGATCAACGTTTTAGTCTATTGATCCTGTTCACTTTTATCAGAAGGGAGATGTGAAAAGTATCCGGAAACGAGTGAAACCTTGGAGGGGTGTGTATGGAAGGTTGTTGGCTTGGGCTGCCCATGCCTTGGCAGAGGTACAATTGCACTATCTTTATACTTTGTCAGTTTGGCCTTCGGAGAGGGGAGAGCTTAATCATCTGACGGTAGCTTTGTCACGTGTCCTCTTGGTTATGTCAAACAGGGTCATAACAAACCTGAGCCAAAAGACTTATGGCGGGAACCATTTGTTCCAGCTTCTGCATGGAAACCTTGTTCAGATCAACGTAACTGGAAACCGAGTGGTAAGCTGTGTGTGTGTGTGTGTGTGTGCAGATACATTGGTTGTGTGCACCGGAATGGAGAGGTTGTAAATGTGGATGATGGTGATGTCTTCTTCTTTGTGTACATGGAAACAATTAGCGTACCATCAAGAAAAATAAACTGTGAACAATGCTTGGGCCATCTACTAGAGGCATAATTACATATCTCTACTTCTACAGGTGGAAACAATGGATACATAATGGTCACTGCAAATGGTGGAATGAACCAGCAGAGAGTAGCTGTAAGTAATCCCTCTACTAAATTGTGACACTACTCTAATTCCAGTGATGGCCAAATTGTAGTAGCTTGTGTCTTTTGTTTACTAAATTCTCTAGTTGATTCTAAGCAGGTCTGTAATGCTGTTGTTATTGCAAGATTACTCAATGCAACTCTCGTTGTTCCACGATTTTTATACAGCAGTGTCTGGAAAGATGTTAGGTAACTTGCTACCATCTCTTTCATTCGTTGTCTGCAAGTTACTTTCCTTCAATCTACGCAGTCCTATGTGATCATTGTGGTTAATAACTAGCTGAAACTGATAGTTTGGTTAAGATATTGATTCGAAGCCTTTGCTATTTAGGTGACATTTCATTATCAGTTTCCGTCATCTTAGATTCTTCGATAGGAACTCATCACATTACCTGTTTCTTCTAGATGATGTTATTTCCCATCTTAGGAGATAACTTTGTTGAAGTGAAACTGTAGTGGAGGGTACACATTATACAGATCATCGTCTATTAGGGTGTCAAGATAGTATCCTTCTGGTGTTGATTTGTTGTTGATATCCATGGTGAATGTTGATCATCTATGCTGTTAAGTCTGAAAGTTTAGTAGGCTCAACATTTGCACAATATGCATTTCTTTGTCAGATATTTGCTTCTCAATCCTGTATCTTTCTCTTCGGAAAGTAACCCTTCAATTCCATTATAGTCAATTCAGCGATATCTATCAGGAGGAGCACTTTATTAACTACTTGACTCCTGATATTCGGATAGTGAAGGAGCTCCCTGAAGAGCTACGATCATTAGACTTGGAGGCAGTTGGCAGCCTTGTGAGTTTCTCGCTTTAAAACAATGCCAAGGGCTTTATAATTAGCATTGTGTGGCTTCATCTTTGGTGGTGCTAATTACGTGGGCATTTTTTCAGATTACAGATACTGATATCAGAAAGGAATCAAAACCAAGTTTTTATGTGAAGAATATTCTTCCTATTCTGATCCAGACTAGAGTTGTCCATTTCCTTGGATTTGGAAATCGTCTGGCATTTGACCCCATACCATTTCAATTGCAGGTAATAGTTTAAGCTTGGACATGGTTATCGTAGCATGACCCTAGGAGGGTTCTTTTTTAAAAGTTTTAGCATGCTGTGTGAAAGTCAATCTTTCTTTATTTTTTCTTGTTTCCTTCTTTATGCTTGCTCTTCCTAATTGAGGAAACTTCATCTAGAGACTTCGTTGCAGATGTAATTTTCACGCTCTCCAGTTTGTCCCAAAGATACAAGAAACCAGCGCTTTGCTTCTTCAGAGAGTACGACAGCGTCCACAACCTGGATTGCTAGATCACTATCTTGTCGGTCCTTATGCAGAGTCAATGCTGAAAGAAAAGGGAGGTCATTCTGGGAAAGCTTCTAAGTATCTTGCTCTGCACCTGAGGTTCGAAATCGACATGGTAGCTCATTCCCTGTGTGAATTTGGTGGTGGCGAAGAAGAGAGACAAGAATTGGAGGCATTCCGCGAAGTCCATTTCCCTGCATTGACTCTTCTAAAGAAGACCTCGAAGTATGAGTAATTTCGCATCCTGCAGTAAATTTTTATTTCCTTTAGTTTTTAGATGGCGCTTTCCTGGTTTTCTGTATGGGGAAAAAGTCTAGCATTTTCCTTTTGGTTAGAATGGCCATTCTCATTGACTGACTAAACTGTTTGTCGAGACAGGTTGCCTTCTCCTGCTGCTCTAAGGGAAGAAGGCTTGTGCCCTTTGACACCTGAAGAAGCGGTACTTATGCTAGCCGCTCTTGGTTTTAAAAGAAAAACATACGCATATGTCGCTGGAGCAAATATATATGGGGGGAGGTCCAGGTTGGTTGCTTTGAACAGCTTGTATCCTAATTTGGTCACCAAGGAGACTCTTCTTTCAGCAAGTGAACTGGAACCTTTCAAGAATTTTTCGTCTCAGGTATATAGTCTGCGTGAAGTAGTCACCTCTAGCTTGATTTCATTAGCTTTCTCTACATGTTCTTTCTCTTCTTTTCATTTTCATGGGACGGCTTGAGAAAAATGCACTGATTATGGACTAAGCTCTGTCGCATCTATTGTTTGTCCGATTGTTTGTTGCCTTTCCCTGTAATTATTCGAATTTCTGCAGTTAGCTGCTTTGGACTTCATAGTCTGCACCGCAGCGGATGCCTTTGCCATGACGGACTCAGGGAGTCAGCTATCATCCTTGGTCTCTGGTTACCGGATATATTACGGTGGAGGAAAGATGCCGACAATAAGGCCAAACAAGCGAAGACTCGCAGACATCTTTACGAAGAACAATACAATAGAATGGCGCGTGTTTGAACAAAGGGTGAGGAAAGCAGTGAGGCAAACTAAACATGTTCAAAAGAGGCCAGTGGCAAGGAGTATTTACCGGTTCCCGCGCTGCAAGGAGTGTATGTGCCTTATATGATAATATATTCAAGTAGGGTCTGTTGATTGTTAGCTGTTTATTGTTTTAACATTCTTTTTCACATGCTAATTTAATTGAATGTTGTAACAACCATAAGCAGTCATCAGATCAGCTGAGGATTGACAGCTGACGAGAAAGTTCCTTAGAGAGATCTTCAAACATTACATTTTTGGAGATGATAGCATTGTCATCATTCTTTCACCCCATAAAATCCAACTTCTTTTGCCCAATTCGTGCTATTATTTATGCAAACGAACCTCTTTTCTCTTTCTGGTTTTCGGCTTTATGCTTATTAAGGTATCAGCTCGTGTAACTTTAGAGATAGCCGTTCATCTCTTCATCTCTCCGAATATTTGATTGAAATCCAGGATCTGAGGCGAGCACACTTGTCTCTTGGCTCTTCTTTGTTAATAGACTTACTGATTCACGAAAAATCACGGTTTGTACCAAACATGAGGCGTTCACCCAAAGTATTCTAGTAAACTTAAGGTACTAAAATTGGTTGGAGACGGCACATTTTGAAGAAGAAAATATCCAATCCTGAAACATGATGGAAGGGTAGTATATAAATGGCTGAACGATCCACAGGATGCAAATGGAGATGGCTTTGCTCATTTAAGGTCAAGGATCATCAGATACATATTATTTGTACTTCAGCATGTACTTAAATGTGGAGAAGTTGAAGGTGAACCCAAAACGGTATAACTGAAATCCGGCAAGTTCACTTCATTGTGAGTCCGACTAGATGCAGAGGGTAGAGCTTTAATGACTATCGTCTGGTCAAGATCGGTCAGAACAGGATGGGATGGTTTATATTAGCAAAGTAGGAGATCTGCTATGCTTTCTATGGAATTCAAAGATTGGTGGTGAACACTAAACAATGATTTTACTACAGCAACAATGTCCTGAACAATCAACTTACTTTAATCGAGTCAGCGACTCACGTACACTTCGTTCATGAATGAAACGAGACTTGACTCTCACTCAGCACGTTCTCCAAAAGTTAAGGCGACAAGGAGCAACCCAATGCAGCTATAAGGAATTCCTGTGAACAGAGATCTCATGCTATAGCAAGCACAGTGAGATAGAAACCAGGAAGCAAAAGTACAAGATTTTATAATACACGGAAGGTTTGAGATTTATAGGAATGGACAGGAGTTGAGAACTAGAAGCCAATAGCCATGGATGCCCAAGACTCAGTTTTTGACACTTCTGTGATGGGTAAGTTCCTCGAGGATAGCTTGCATTATGGTGATGAAGTTGGTGAGAGAAGCCGAGATGACTGAGTTAAATGTCCATGATTGGGAAAGTAGGTGCACTTCAAGGTCGCCGAGTTGCTGTTGTGGTGGGATTCTATATTCCTGAACTGGTCGGAGAGATGACAATCATAAACATGTAACGTGGTTTTCTCCAGGAGTCTGCTTAAGCTATTGGCGACTAGCTGATCGTCTTGAGAAAACTGTCGTGATGATTCCATCTGAACAGAAAAGTTGACAGGTGTTGACACCTATAATTGATTAGTTTGTCGACAACCAAAATAAATAAAATAATAAACGTCAAAGGATGACGTAGCCCGTACGAAACGGTTCACAGCTAACAAACACTGAGAGATACCGGCGGGAAATTTGAAATTAAGAGAGGTTGAGAGCGAGTGCCGAAGTTGTCGACGAAAATTGTCATCGAGGAAGTCGACAAGGAAAAGGACATATGTCAAGCCAGGAAGAGCTCGACGACGGTTCCTGCCTCAGGAGGATAGATGTCAAGCCAGGAAGAGCTTGACAACGGTTCCTGCTTCAGGAGGACAAGTATCAAGCCAGGAGGAACTTGATGACGGTTATCATCCCGACAAAGACAGGTGTCAAGCTAGGAAGAGCTCAACGACGGTTCCTACTTCAGGAGGACAGGTGTCAAGCCAGGAAGAACTCGACGACCGTTATCATCCTGAAAAGGACGGGTGTCAAGACAATACGAGCTCGATGATGGTTACTGCCTCAAGAGGACAGGTGTCAAGACAATATGAGCTCGATGACGATTACTGCCTCGAGAAGGATAGGTGTCAAAATAATACGAGCTCAATGACGATTACCGCTTCAAGGAAGACAGGTGTCAGACGGGATGAATTTTACAACGATTATCCCTTCGGACAAAGGATAAAATCGATGGCAGTTGACGGACATGTGTCATTAGATGGACGGTGAAGATGAGATCAACGGTGGCCATCGAACGCAGTACGAAAGGCGGTTACCATGCTCACATTATAAATAGTACCCGACTGCCAGAAGAAAGACCCATGCGCATACAAACCAAAATGCTGGTTTTTTATTTTTACTTCCCAGTATCGACCGTAGCTATAGATGTTCACTTTCTAAGTCAGAAGCTTTGTAATATCACATCGATGAACTCCAGACACCGCCGGACGGACTCGTCTGAGTTGTTTATGAATATAAGTCAAACTTCGTCATTGTACGAAATTTGAGTTGTTAATCAATACAATCGAACTCTTTGTTCACGTTTGGATAACTCCTGTCCGGAATTAGACCCAGAACCCGGTCCCCTCTCAATAAAAAACCAAAGAACGACTTTCGGTCAGTTATATTTCGGCGCCGGAACATTTCCGGTGAAACACAGTGATAGAATTTCCAACAGACGATTTTGGAAACTTATCTCTAGGAAACTATCGGCTCTCTTTGGTTCAAGCTTGATTCCTGATGACCTAAGGTCTGTTAAAAGTGGCATGGATTGCTCTGGAGGAGAAGGGGGGAGTCCTACATTCGGTTGCAGTCAATCCCATCTGATGGGAGGAGACTCGGGTAGAACAAGTAATGTCCGTGCCCGACCTTCAGATTTTCGCATTTCTCGGTGATCTCTAAGGGTCCTGGGGTCCCTATCACCAATTGCGTGCTCGCCCAGAAGGCGCCGGATTTCAACCTCGAACCAACTCTATATCATCATTTCCCCAAAGCCAACATCAGACATTGGGACTGTACCCATGCAGCAATTCATGGTTCTTTTGAAGGAAGCTGCCATCACTAGGATGAGTGACTGAAAAGTTCGATTCATTTAATCTAGAAATTTGTGTAAGAACAGCCGTTTGTACACTTCAAATTCCTCTAAATGGTCTCCGCCCCTGTGATAAGGGCCTATGGACAAAACCTCAGGATGATTGGCCTTGTTATTGATCCCACAGAGAGCACAAGGAGTCTAAAGAACCAACGATCTGGGTTCAGATTCCTCGTTATCATTTGTTCTCCCATTCGTCAGATTTCATTCCTAACATAAGCTCGCCATTCGTTGATTATATCCTCTGAGTCACTAGAGTCTCTGATCTTGCATCAGCATCAAGACCAGCTCTCTCCATGCCGTTTTCTCCTTGTTCAACCGTGTGGGGTCAATGAGATGATTTTGCAACAGCAAACGCTTTCCCTTTGTCTGGTCCTGGTTCGTCGGGTGCTTACTCTCTCGCTTTGTTCACTGTAGATCAGTCCATCTCTCTCTGAGCTCGGCGTAAATGATCAAATGAACACTGGAAGTGGGATATGATACCAACACAGCATGGAGGAGCTAAAATGTGTGGTCATAATACCGCGATTGACTGCTTCCAAGGACTTGCCTAGATCACTAGGACTCTCTCTGACCAACCAGGTTGTCAGGTTTTACTGAGAAAGTCAACCTTAATGATCTATTGGAGTACCGTGTAGTGCCATTCTATATAACTTTGCCTTGATAAGTATACTTAAAGTTCTGGGTCTTCTAGGTTTCTGCCAGTCGGGCGTCCGTGCCCATTCAACAAGTCTTTTTTTCGAACTACTAGAAAAAAACGATTCCTCAATGGCAAATTGGAGACAGAATCAAGAAACGGTTCTGACGTCGACTGCCAACAGAGCCTCTTTTGATTTATTTCCTGCTTGGTTGATTGATGTTTTTACTGGAGCCTTCTAGTTTTGATCTCGCAAGTGAGATCTGATCTAACTTAATTATGTTAATGTAAGGAAGCGAGGAGCGATTACAGCGAGGAACTGAACCAACAGAATATGCAAATGACAACATACAATATATATGGCCATACTGGTAAGTTATTCTGAAATTCATCACAGCCTCAAAAGTGTATAGAGTCGATACAAGCAAGCCACAATAACGTAACTGACAACCAGCATGTTCACTTCCTTGGTACTCTCGTTAGAGGCAGGGTCTAGAACTTCTGGATGACAACTGAATTGATAAGGCCTGCCTGCTCTATTGTCTGGTCGAGTTCAGTCAGGAGCTTGGGAGGAAATCCCATCATCTGCAGTTGGTAAGTCCTGGAAACCCCAGATCTAGATGCATCAATGAAGGCACGGACGTCCCTGACCGTATGGCGGTGATTGAAACGTCCAATTATCCGGGTTCCATCTGCCAATCTAAGCTGGATCGAAGTTGATGGCATTGTCTCGTCCACAACGAGGCCCATCGATGGGGCAGGAGCACCGTTAAGAGAAGCAGAGGCAGTCTCAGGCGCTGCCATTGTAGGGGTAGAGCTATTTCCTAGCGTTCTTCCAACGCCCTGAAATGGAACGTGAAGCTTCTCTGGTTCCTGCAAGACGATGCATGTTAACTTGATAATTACAGAGTTTGAAAGGCCTAGATATAGTCTTGTAGTGGTGGTACCAAGGGGGTTGCTTAACGTGTACCAAAAGCAGATATACATGGACAAAAACACACGATTTCAAAGAAAAAGACTTGTTCGTGTACACTCCGGTATCAGCTAACTATATTCTTCTCTATTAATACGAGGAAGGGAGACACCGCAAGAAGAATGACGGTAAAGAAATTACTCACAGGGCACTTCTCGTCCCTTCTTATAAGATTCACATGAACAGAGGATCTTCTGTCGGCAGGCTCGAGCTCCTTTGGACACTCAGACTTCCTAATGCTCTGCATGGAGAGAAATAAGAGATGACCAAGGCAGCAGTTTAAATTAGCAACTAAAAAAAGAACTAGAAAAAGAAATGAAGTTCTAGCCAGGAGACAACTATCCGTAAGATTACCAACATAGTTGTAATCCAGATCCAGGAATAAAAATTCACAGGAATCATACCAAGGCCTTTTAATTTAAACCAAAAGTATATTAGATACTCATCGATTTAGAACAATGCTTAAGGCTGGAACTGTCAAAGAGTTGGATTGGATTCCAACACTAGCATCAACATCGAGAACGCAAATTTGCTCTATAGATTCTTTTACACCATTGCAGTCCATTATGTACCAAGTCTTCTGTAAAATCAAAGTACTCCATATGATTCCTTCACATCTCTTTCAATTGGAGGAAAGTAAAAGGTGCATACACACATGTCAATTAGTTTCATTGCTCACCTAAATATGTTAAATTGAAAATACATCATCGATATTCGAGCAATGAAATATCTCGAGAAAACAAATTTCGTTTTTGTTTTCAGTTCAAGTATAGTTATCAGGTCTTGTACCTCAAGGAAAGAAGCATTTTCAGGATCATCCAAGCTCCTTAGAGGGCCATCATTCACAGTGAACCCATTGCTCCAGAAAACAATATTGTGAATGACAGTCTCAGGTTGCTGAGGAGCTGACTGCACTGTTTCTCCTGAAAGTAGTCGTCCAGTGCCAGTAAAGCTCCTTGAACTTGAAGATGGAAGAAGGTTATCTATTGGACCTTCTACAGCACCCATTTGTCTAGCCTGATTAAAGATTGAATCCACATCATTGCCTTTTGTAGGATCTTGCACAAGCATCCCACTGCCAATTATACATCATATAGTGTCAGACTTCAGCCGTGACAGTCAATAACATTGTGTTCTGATACACACACAAGTGCCAAATATTTCTTCAGACAACGCACTTGATCAGTTATGAAAACTAGCTGCTCAGTCATCACACTGCAAACAAAATCTGATTTCTTTTTAAAAAATATTCATGTCCTTCCACAGGTGTAAGACCACCGCAGGATCATCAGTACATTACTATTGAATAAATAAATTCAAGATCAAAAGAGCAGTTGATCAACACATCAGCCCTTAAGTTTCCAGCTTGTTGCAGAGAAAAGTAGCCTGTACGTTCTCATGCATCCTCCATTTGTCCCTTAGCCAGCAGGAGCAAGCGCTGAAACTTTCAAGCAACTTCTCGTCAATGACAACCTATGATCCTGTCCTAAAATTTATATCACAAAGACACCTATTAAACACTGTGTAGAATCCCAACCTCATTTGGAGGCTTCACACTATATTTTCCTACAAGCCCAGCGCATTTGAGAATATAAAACCAGAATTAGCCCCCCAAATATAGGTGTGGACCAAAAATTAAAAACCCAGCACTTGTCACTTGGCATGAAAGTTCCCAATGAAACATGAAGTTCAGAATAATCACCCTTTTAATTTCAAAAACCAATGTAAAATAATTGTGAAATATATTAAATCTAATCATCCAACCTACATGAGACCTACCATTACAAATTTAAGTTAGTTCCACTAAGGTATCAAACAATTATCAGTCTTATGTTGCTGATGAGATGCCCGTTTTCTTTCATGGGACTGCTTAACAGACGACAGAACCACAGAACTTTAGCATGACGGTTTAGTTCCCAATGATTTAGCAAAATGACATAAAGAATCACCTCGCTACAGGTAGATCTCATCCGGTATCTATTTACATGTACACTCCCGATTGCCTTGATGCTACTCCCCTAAAAGTGCTCCACTCTACATACCTGGACCCTCTACGCATATAGCTTATTCAGATACTAATTCAAACTATCATTAGTCATTCTACTACGTTAACATCACTAAAACCTTTCAAATGGAGTTACTTCTATATATCTTCAAAATTCGACAGAATAACTACGATGAGTACATCCATGTATGCCGCATGCAAACCCCAAATGCCCAAATCACCTCAAGATCCAATATTTCTCCCTATGAACCAACCCATTGCCATCATTACCACGTCGTTATCGATTAGGGATCACAAGTCAATCTGTACAAGTCAATCTGTACATTCATTTTTTCTTTCTTTTTTCTCTTCACTAGCTTCTAATTCATTGCCTAGTGGACACAAACGAAGTTGGAACACCCAAAATTGACTCTTTTCTTAACAGAATAGCACGGGCAAAATGCATAACATACTTCATGGAATGTCTCAGAAACGGTGATGAATGCAAAAACTTTCAAAAACAACGAAATCCCAATCTTCATCCTCAGTCGGAGCAAGCAAAGACCATCAGCAAAACAACGATCACTTCCCCTCGGCCAAACACCTCGAGAAAGGAATCTAATCCAATCCAATCTAATCCAATCGGACAAACGGGGAGCGTCATCAAACAGAATCGAAACCGCGAGAGGAACGGGATTAGGGTTCCGTCGCGAGGGGGAGGGGAGGACCTCTTCTCGCCGCCGGTGTAGTACTCCTGGGGGCCGTCGGAGTCGCTGTCGGAGTCGGGCCCGGACCGGCGGTTCAGATCGGAGAGGGTGCGTATGCCGCCGGCCCGGCTGCCGGAGGGCTTGGCCGGTTTCTTGTCGCGCGACGCCATTTCCCTCCCTCCTCCTCCTCCCGGCGGTCGCTGTACGGTCCGATCGAATCAGCGAGTCGCAGAAGAGAGAGAGAGAGAGAGAGAGAGAGAAGAGAAAGGGAGAAAGAGACTGACGACTATTCTGATTCTTGTTAGCTTGCTGCTTCGGCATCTATTTTAATTATTTCATTCTTTTTTTTTTTGGTCGAAATTTTAATTATTTTATTCATATGGCCAAAAAATAATATCTACTACTACTACTATCATCATCATTATTATTATTATTATTATTATTATTATTATTATTATGTCATTGTTATTATATGTGATGTATTTAGAAGCTTGTGGGCTAATGTCAAAACAAATAATCCTCTCTAAAAAATCCACGTCGGCATGTTTCGAAGCTATGACGGTCTTTGCCACGTCAGCTTTTCGCAGGCTCTTGCGATCGTCCCTCTGTAGATTTTAAGATTCTAATGTCGATTAATATCGAGGCAATGGAGCGGGCATAAGCAATAAAAAGATTCGACTACCCAGCTATCTCTAAGTGCATATGTCGTTCATCCTATGTTAGATGGGTAGAAAGTTCATTACACCAACAATCAACGTGATAAGAATCTTTATATTCGAATACTTGTACATGTATTTGGGCATTGAAGAGTTGGGTCGAAGTATCGAGACTCTTCATTACACAGGGCTCGTTTTAACATATTAATCAATGATTAATTAGTGTAACCCATGTATCTAGAAAATTATCAAAAAGGTACTAAATTTATCGTACGAATTTCAATTCAGCTCCAAACATTTCAATTTGACCAATTTAGTCCTAAATCTTTTAACAATTTACCAACGTCGTCCTTCCGATCAATTTTTGTCAGAAATCGATGACGTGAAGACCAACTGTCCTACATGGCACAACAAGTACTGACGCGGATAATCTTTGCAATTTTTTAAAAGTTTTCTAAAATTTCTTGCATATCTTTTTATTTTTACTTTTTATTTTTATTTTCGACCAAAATTATCCGAATGATGGATTATCAAAAAAATTTAGTGCTAAATTGACCAAATTAAAAGATATAAAACTGAATTAGCCTTGTACAATAGGCTTGGAACTTTTTTGGATAATTATCTCCCGGATATCTCCAATTATTTTTTCGGTCGAAAGATATCTCCAATTTATCCGATTTGATTTCATTAATCTCGTACTTCCATATATATCCGAGCCATGATATTGGTACCCACTAAAGTAAAATCATTTTACAATTTGCACCCTACTTTAGTTTATACTCTTGCACTTCGATAGTCGATTTATAATAATCTACAAAGGTTTTAGGATTTTTGAGACGGTTTGCCCTTTTTAGGCCCAATTCCTTAAAAAACCCCCAATTTTAGCCTTTGTCCCAATTATATCCCAAACTTTTTTTTGTCTCATAAAAAACCCCAAACTTTACTTTTGTCCCAAATCTACCCCAGTTACTATTCGTCTAATTTTTAATATTATTTTTATTTTTCGAATTTTTTCTTTTCTTTTCTTTTTCCTTTCCTTTTCTTTTTTTTTATCATCTTCAACCTCGGCCTGGCCGCTGGTCCTCGGCGACCCGGCCGGCGAGCGAGGGCGGCCCTCGCCGGCCGCTAGCGAGGCTCGGCCCTCGCCGGTCGGCCTCGCCGTTGCCGGGCGAGGCCGAGCCCCGCCGGCGGCCGGCGAGGTCGGCCCTCGCCGTTGCCGGGCGAGGCCGAGCCCCGCCGGCGGCCGGCGCGGAGGCCGGCCGCTGCCTGGGCGAGGCCGAAGCCCGGCGCGGCCGGGCGAGGCCGCCTCGCCCGGGCGGGCGAGAGCCCCGCCGGCGGCCGGCGAGGTCGGCCGCTGTTGCCGGGCGAGGCCGAGCCCGCGGCGGCCGGCGAGGTCGGCCTCGCCGCTGCTGGGCGAGGCCGAGCCCCGCCGGCGGCCGGGCGCGAGGTCGGGCTCCCGCTCGCCGCACGGCTGGAAGACGAGGCCGACCTCGCCATCCGTCGGCCGGGGCCTCGGCGAGGTCGGCTCGCCAGTTGCCGGGCGAGGCCGAGCCTCGCTGCGGGCCGGGCGGCCGAGCCTCGCCAGATCTCGGGCGCGGCTAGGCCACGGGCGAGGCTCGACCTCGCCCAGGAATCGCCGAGGTTCGGCCTCGGCCGACCTCGCCAGTTCTTGGCAGGCCGACCCTGCGCCGCGGCGAGCCTCGCCATGCCGGCGGGCGAGCCTCGCCCGGTCGCGAGGCTCGGCCCGCCCGGCCGGCGAGGTCGGCCGAGGCCGAACCTGCTGCAACGACGAGGCCGACCATCGCCGCGGCCGAGCCGCCGCCGGCCGGGGCCGACCTCGCCGGCCCGCCTCGGCCGGTCGCCAGGTTGAAGGTGATAAAAAAAAAAGAAAAGGAAAGGAAAAGAAAAGAAAAAAATTCGAAAAATAAAAAATAATATTAAAAATTTGGATGAAAAAGTAAACGGGGTAGATTTGGGACAAAAGAAAGTTTGGGGTTTTTATGAGATAAAAAATTTGGGATATAATCTGAGACAAAGCTAAAGTTTTAGGATTTTTGAGACAGTTTTCTCTTTATCTATCTTAAATTTGTCGAGTCTCGGTCGCTGACGTGGCGCGCCAAAACGAAGTACGGACCAATTGGGAACGACGAAAGTGGAGAAACGCACCCTGGAAAAGGAGAAAGGCAAGAAGGAAAAAGCCTCGTCTTTTCAGTCCCGAAAGCAGCGTCGAACGGAGGACGCGCGGTACCTCCACTCCTCCTCCAATGGCGGATCCTTCCCCTAGGACCACACCGGACGGCGACCCCGGCGGCGGCGGCGGCGGCCTCAACCACGACGTCGATTTCGGGCTCTTCTCCGGCGCGCACACCCCGAGCGAGGGCGACCCCAGCGACTCGGCCAGGTCCGAGTCGGAGAGCTCCGAGGCGGCCGGCGACGGGGACGAGTCGCCCCGGCGGGCCGGCGCGGCGGCGAGCTTCCGGCTGTTCTCGGAGTCGATGCTGAGGATGGAGCTGGCCGAGGTGGAGATGGCGAAGGCCAGGGAGGCCCTGAGGCTGGAGGCGGAGCGGAGGCGGGCGGAGCTCGAGGGCGAGATGACCCGGATGCTGCTGCAGACGCAGATGCAGATCGCCACGGTCGTCGCAGGGAAAAGCCAGGGCGGCGGCGGCAGCAGCAGGAAGCGTAAGCGAGCCGAGGACGAGGACAGGCCATCGGCCTCCTCCGCCAGGTAACGCACTAGCTTTACCCGTTTGCTGCTCACTGCACGATTCCTCGATTTCGCAGAATCACTTCATCGATCTTCTGGGTGCGGTCGAAATGCAGGGAAGGAGCTCTCTTGCTCAGCTTGCTTCACTGCAATCTGTTCTTCTGAAGTTGGTAGAAGAAAAAAGGTCCGTCAACTTACTCCGGCGACCTCGATTTCTCTCCTAGGCATTGCGCGTGCGTTCTTGATTTGCTTCTTTCATTCTCGTGTATGATAATGTACAAGATTCACTTACAATGTGCGCAAAAAGGATGCAACTTCGAAGCTAGTTGCACGTACGTGTCGACTGTCTGCAAATCTACGCCTCAGTCGTTGATCTTATAAGAATTTTCCGAAGTGTGCATTCGCCGCCTCGGACCGGAATGACTGTAATTCCATTGTGGCCATGTGTAACTAGATGTGATGCATTTTACAGTAGAAAAGAGTCGGGATTAGAAAAGAGGTAGAAGGGACGCATCCCCACCGATCAGAGGCGATGACGCCTCTTTGATTTAACTTAAATCCAACTGAAATTTCTTCTTGCGAACTGTGGGATCTCCGGCCCTCTCTTCCGCGACGCTTAGCAACGCGTTCCGTCGGCTCGTGGCGCTCTCGACGTACTCTTGCAGAGGCGGGAGAATCCCATGCTCGTGCTTGTTCACCTGGCCGCGAATTATCTGCAAATTGTAACGAAATCAGAAACCCTGATGGAGTTCGTTTTGTTTCCCCCTCTATGGCCTAGGAAAAACTCGATGTCCGAAAGGGGCCACGCAGATTAATACCTTCGAAGCCCATAATCTCTCTGCTTGTTGACACACGTCTCTTATGTCCCTTCCAGACATCCTGGTTTAACAGAACATCCAGATAAGTTGAGCTTCACAGAAAAACATTTGAGAACGAATAAAAAGGGCAGAAAGTCATCTCCAGTACTACAGACCCGAATGCGAAAATTAAAAAACGATGAAAGAAGAAATGGAAGTTGCTATGGGATATTAACTTGAAGGGACTAACCCTTCAGTGACTTTGGCGAATTCAACCAATTCAGGTTCTGTCAAGTGCTTTGCATACTGAGCTGCTATTTCCTGGCGGTTCTGTTGATCGGGAAGGTCGAAGGTGATCATCGAATCAAATCGACTGGAAGAACACGAGTAGCGCGTGATTACAAAATGACTGAATCAACTCATAAGCAGTGCTTTGCAGACACATGCACCTGCTTTACCTGATTAATGCAGGATCCAGGTCTTGCTTCCTGTTTGTTGCGGCGATCACGACCACCTTCTTATCTTGTTCAAATCCATCAATCTGCAAGAAGGGAAAACAATTTACTGGGAGTCCCGCAATTGCTAGGAACACTAAAGGCAGCTGTTGAGAAAGCATGTGATAGAATAGCCCGGCAAAATGTATAAAGTGACAGAATAGAGAGATTGGACGTCCAAGGGTTACCAGTTTAAGGTAACCTGCAGAATTGACCACCTCATGGTCAAGTGGCCGGGGACCAAGATGTTCTAACATTAACGAAATTTAGCTAAACAAACATCTAATGAGAATGGTATTCTTGCAAATATAGGTTGATCTTGGCACTAACACAGATTTGTTTAGTCACATCTAGGTCATTGATCAAAAGTAAAATTTAGAAATGGAATTCACTTGAGTGATATTCTTTTCACTCTGGACAAAGATCAGATATCGCAGATGCAAGAGGTGGCCTTTCTTGAAAAGTGTAAATCTAGGGAAATACACTCTCGTACCTGTCGCAATAACACTGATAAGATCCTTCTTGTAGCTTCATGCATTTCACTATCACGAGCAACAGCAAAAGAATCGACCTTCAAGGTACAAAGTTATCGTAAGCAGGAGCTCGACATCTTCAACTGATACGACATAAACATGAAAACCAACTCAATTGTATAAGATGAAGAAATGGATGAAGCGTTGTGGTATGTTGGGCTCTATGATTTCTCTCTCTCTCTCTCTCTCCATGCTTGCTAGTTGTCTCTTTCTTATGAGGTATAGAAAAGTATGATGCAATATTACATGAACTCTCCCACAGAAATTTACTTCTGCAAGAAGAGCTTGCCTATCATCCAGACATACCTCATCTAGAAATATGATAGCACCATTTGGTAACTCATTGGCAAGTGAAAACACTTGTCCCAACAAGCGCTCGCTTTCACCGTAGTACTTTGACATGACAATCTCCAATGGTACATACAGTAATGGAACACCCTGCAAATACACGTAGTAAGCATTTATCGCTTTATTAATTCAATCAAAGCCAGTCCAAAGATCCTGCTGCTATCACTTGAAGGAAAACAAAATTCAATCCCCAACGTTCTATAGCCCCTACAAAGAGCAGCTAGAATTAGAGCAAAAGCAACTTCAGCAACATAACTTTAAGGAATCAGTATTAGACACAATAAAATAAAAAATCTCGCTTAACACTCCTCTTACGAGGTATACCACAACAAATGCACCCAACCATGCAGCACATAGTACTAACTAATTAGCATAGTCATCATAAGGAGAGAAAAATATCTTATCGCTTGAGGGCAGCATTAAATACAACAACCAATTAACTGAGAGCACGATGCAGAAAGCAAAAGCCATGTCACATAGACAAGATAGCAGCTATGAATGTCCTTATCAGCCGATGTAGTATCATACTGCTTGATTGGCGATAACACGAGCACATGATGTCTTTCCTGTACCTGGAATTGGACATGTACTATAATTAAGCTTTGCCAAACTAATTTGTCATATTAAGCAAGGACAGAGAAACCAGATACGCCAGTACACTTTTTAATGCAAGTAATTTGTTCCAATAGAAGCATCCTAAAATATTGGACAAAATAATTGATGCAATGTAAGGTGAATTTGCAACGACCCTCAAACTAAGGAACCTCCCTATATATAGGACTGTTACTAAGAATGTAGCAATAACTATTTAAATGAACAGAAAAAGCTTATTGCCACTCAAGCATAAAAAAGACACATACTTTATAAAGTGTTCGCTCTTCCTGCCAAATTTAGGAGAGCATAAAAAAGATACATGCTTTATAAATAGTTCACTCTTCCTGCCGAATTTAGGAGAGTTTCTATGTATTTTAATAACTCATGAAGCACTATTAGGAGAATTAACCCATTTGTTAGCCCAAGTGCTGACATTAAGAAGCATCATATGGTTCATTTAGGGGGGGATACAGTCTAAAAGGTGTCTTTAATATCAGCACTCGAGCTTATTTCCAATAAACTAAGGCAGCACCATTAAACGATCGGGAAACCACAGCAGCTTCTCTAGCTTTTCCATTCATAAGTGTCACTTAACCTCAACACTTGTCATATACAGAAGTCATCAATAGGAACTTGAGCACATTTAAAAAAATTTGCCAGGCTTCTACTATGGTCATGGTAGCAGACAGCAAAATACTATTGTGCCAATTGTGCACTCTAGCAAGATAACTACAAATTGCCAAACAAACCCATTTTTTATTAATTCAAAGTAAAGTATCATTAATGTGCACCACGAGTTGCCAGCCCACGCACAAAAAGAAGCTTATCGATTTAATAACTTTCCATGTAGTAGCAAAATCTACTCTTCAACTCAACCGAGAGTGTGCATTATACAATAATATCCAAAATCTTAGTAGAAGTTTATTCCTTGAAATGCTCTCTGCTCTTATCCTTTCAAGTGAAACCCTGGCCAAAAAATGTTCAAGAACAACTTCTCCAAGGCTCATACAGTAAAAACAAAATCAAGGATTCGGTCCCAGGAAAAAAAGAAGAAGAGATAAAGTCAGGCCTTAGATGGTGAGTCTCCAAAAAAGTACGACTAGAAAGTGGTTAGTCGTCTCTCAAATGTCAAATTATCTGATAATCAACTAGTTAAGTAATCCGACCAAAAAAAAGAACTAGTTCAGTAAAATTGTTGGCCATAAACACTAGTTCACTAAAATTCTTTTGACTAACTAAATCATGAATAGAAGACAAACCTGGCGGACCCTCGAAGAGCACTGCTCGAGGCCTGTTTGACTCGAACTTGCATCTCGTTCCACGAGCAATATCATCATACACCTCTGGACTATGTAAAGCCAGTAATATAGTGTCCTCTATCTCCCTTCACGACATGCATGTGAAAGATAGTGTACATGAGCAATACATGTGGCCGTGATGCTATCCAATCGAAAATGGAAATGATGCAATAAATTCTGATAATACAAAGATCAAAATAGAGTGCAGCCAGTATTCTTGCTGTGTAGTATAGAAGTCTTTTAGGTTACCAGATAATAAAACCCATGAATCAAGAAAATGCTGACAATCGACAAAAGCTGATACTACTTGACAGTAAAATGAATAAGCTGTCCTTGGCTTCACAAATCTGTATCCTCTACTATTACACTTGATCATTTTGCACATCCATTTTTACACAAGTAAAAGTAGGACTGTTCTAGAGAAGAGGTAAGTATAAGCAGCTAACTACATGGATTTTAATCCATCTTTTACATGTCACACATCCATTCTGTTGCTGTGGGCTAAAGCATAACAATTATCACACTAAATCACTGAAATTAATAAGGTGTCACATAAGCAAAGCATTATCCAATATGTACACAATAACCTAAACTGAAACTATATAAATGAGGAATTTAATTAATGTAATACTTCACATACCGTTTTTGCTTTTGATACCCAGCAATGTTGTCCCATGATAACTTCTTGTCTTCCACATCAACAGGAGCTTCATCAATCCCATAAATTCTCACTCCCATTGACTGAAGACTTGTAATCGTCTTTTCTGGGGTTGTTTTCCTTTCGGTACCTTCCCTTGGTCTACTTTCCGAAAACTTATCCCTCCCCAACTTTCTACCTGCCAATTGCAAGACAGAAACGAAAGCTTCCAGCTCTTTCAGATTCAAGCTTCCAGGCTTCATGAACTCAATTTCCTGCAACAGCTCATGAGATAGATATTTTACTAGTTTTTCAGCTCCGGTGCACAGTAATGAGACAACTACGAAATTACATCAATGAGAAATGACTACTCACCGCTTTATCTGAACTGATAAGAGAGCGAAATATGAGAATGCATAAATTATTCTCCTGTTTCTTTATATTTTCAGCACGATCCTCTTGTTCTGCTTCTCT